TACTTCCTCTTTAGATTATTAATATGCTTGATGAGCCAAATACCAGTACCACCCACTACACAGTTGTGTTTTGTTGTAAAAAAATGTACTTTTCTTGAACAAAATAAACTACGGCTTCAACTAGTTTGGCTGCCGATATACCACTGAAAATTCAAATTAAGAAGAGAATAATAGTTCATCTCTATGAGCACTGAGGAAGTCACACAGTCTGCCGGTGTAGTGAAGGAACAGGAAGGCATTATTAACCTGTGAAACCACGAGGCAGTTTAACTGAACAACATGAAGGGCACAGTATTAATTATAAGAGAGAATGGAAAATGCAATATCTTTTCTCTTGGTTTGTTTCTTCTCTGCTCTCTCTGCGGTCAGGTTGCTTCTGTTTCAGAGAAATGCAGAACACTGAGACGTGAGAAACTCACATGCCTGTTAGTGTGAACCCAACATGAACACACACATCACACTCATAATCAAGTGGACTGGAAGGAATCAGACACACAATGGTCCGGTAATTATTGTTGGAGCTATTGATTGATTTAACATGTTGATGTTGATCTATGTCATGGAAGAAGTTTCCTTCATAATTCACTCCTTTATTCTTCTTTCTAGTAGCATCCCTCGTGGCAAGAGTATATTTATCCTATTTTAAAATCAAACAGAAAACCTAGAGCCCTGGTTCAGTCTCTTTGGACTCTGGTGGGTAAATAGATAAATGAGTGCAATGATGATATTTACATTTACTTTCATCTGGTTTAATTTGTTTATTCATTTGTGTTTACATTAATTAAGATTTGGTGTATTTTGTTGTTTTCCCTTTGTTTATCTTTCTGCACCAAACGTGGCAGAACCCTAACCTGTTGTCTTGTGCCGGACAGGTGCTGTGGGCCTGAGGCGGCAGACTCCCTGGTGGGAGCAGTGGTGTTCTTCACGTGTCTGTTTTGTGTGGTGTGCAGTGTCATGGGTGATTTAGTTTGGACCCCTTACTCCCCTTTTTGTTAACTGCCGCTGTGGTATGTCCCAGCCCTGTCCTTTTCCCCAAAGTGTGGATTTTATTGAAATGTATTGTGTCTGGTGTTTTTAGATACTCTGTATTTTATAAATAAAGTAGCCTTTGATATTAACCCTTAAACTGTCTCTGGGCGAAACTCTCCCAGCTGGCGTTGTCAGCAACCGACCTCTTACACCTAGCCGCACCACCCCGCCACAACGCAGAGAAAACCGACACAGTTTCAGAAAGTAACACAGAAAGCACATAGACAGACACACACAGTAACACAGAAAGCACACACACTGACACAGTAACACAGAAAGCACACAGACAGGTACACACAGCATCACACATACAGACACTCAGGTCACACAAAGCAGACAGCGAGGTAAATACATCCGTTGAAACTCATCACAGGAAGTGACAGTCCAATTTTGTACATCTGTTCAGAGTCCTTTAGAATTGATGGAATTAAAGTGGACCTATCATGCTATATTATAATAATATAGTGTAGGACCATACCTATATAAGGCATATTTATACTTTTTCTTTTTCAAAATACCAAACAGATCATGCATTTTAGCCATGCCTCATTTACCCCTGTTTTTGCAGGGGCTGATTCTGTGAGAACAGCACCATCTACTGGCCTGGCATATGTACTACAGCGTCTCCAGCGCTTTCGAACGGCAATGTCCGTGGCTGTCTCCTCCTGATTGGTGGAGTTGGCCCAATAGCTGTAGCGCCACCGTCCTGACGTCAGGACAGTGTTCAAATCTGGATCAGTTTTTATCAGATCCGTTGCAGCCCCTTTTTTAGAGATTTGGGTATGGAGGAAAATAGAGAGGGTTGTGTTTTCTGACACTTGGTGAGTTCCCTGGAACACATATTCATGTATAAAAGACGTACAAAAGTGCATTTTGCATGATAGGTCCCCTTTAAGATAAGATAAGATAAGACTTAAATTGTTATGCCAGAGTTACAAAAATACAATAAACACAGCAGCATAATAGTAAAACTGTACACTAACAGTGCAGTAAAAAGAGCAATTAAATATCTACAGGAAACAGAGACGGTCACATCATTAATGTAAATATTAACAGTAAGCCATGGTATCTTTCCAACTTTACCAAACCTCCATTCTTATAAAAAAAATGGTTACCTCGATCTGGACATACCGGCTATAACTTGATCATCATTTCTGAACTACAGCCCATCATTCGGATGTGGCTGAGAGGAAGAGCTGTTGTCTTTGAGTCAGAAGAAGCCAAGTTATCGTGTTGATTTATCCTAGTGTGTATTGTGCTGCTTGTTAAATGTGTGCATTATCTCACTGCTACAGTGGAGAAGAGCTTCAAATCAAAGACCTCAAACCTGTTAGAAATCCCATCCATTACACTCCTGTTACTGAGTTTTAGGTAGAAGCAAAACCTTTAATAGCAACACCATTTTTGACGCTAATAAACATTTATATCTGGCTCTTGAGGGCTCTGAAGAGAAGTGTACTTCTTGCGCCAAATCCATCAATAAAAGTCAATCAAAGTTTATTTATGCAGCCCAATATGACAAATTGTACTTTTGTCTCAGGGGGCTTTGAGGTTAATACAGAACATGAATATGCTGGGAATTCCCGGTGCTGTAAGCTTTTAAAAATACTCATTGAAGAGAGAAGTGTTTCTCCTTGCACTGTGTACAACTTGACACAAAGCTTCCAAATAAAAGGGGGACTGGTCAGAGGAAGTGAAATTAAATATGATAGCAGCTCAAAGATATTGTTAAAGACACTTGTTGAAACCTTCAGAGCAACTGAAAGTAAGTTTGTTATAAAGGTTGTCGTATCCACAGAATACAAGGCGACCAAGCAGAACAACATCGTGTGAAACACAGACACAGAAATTAATAAATGTAAGTGAAAATAAATGTAAAAAAATACATTAAATATATATAATAATGTGTGTTCTGTATTATTCTCAACTCTCATTTTTTAATGTACACATTCATTTCAGTATTTATTATTATTTTTTATTTATTCTTGTATTTTTGTATTCCTGTTTATTTTCCTGTATTAATGTGTTTATTTATTTTATACTAATGCCATGTTCTGTCCTCAATGCTAGTGTGCTCGTTGTGTGCATAAAGGTACAAATTCAATCTAAATCAAATCACAACAAGACCTGTAGTTTGGCATTCATTATTTTAAAAACACACTGGTGGTCCAGAGGATTATGCATTTGGGTTTTCATGCAGGTGTTCGAGGTTCAACACCCAGGAGAGGAATATCTTTAATCTTCTGATATGCTGATGTTAAATCTGGAGAAATTGATTAAATACAAGAGTTATGGCAATGTCAACCTTTATATATTAACTCAAACCAAAACAGAACAGAACGAGAGAAAGGTAAACACATGAAGTACAGAGCAAAAGACTAGGGTCAGAATAACAGGTGTAACAACAAAGCAAAATAGATAAATGCAACAAGTTGTGATGGTTATGAACTTAAAGAGTAACAAAGAAATTAACTATTTTAATTGGTGATAATGGAACTTTTATATTTACATAAACAGATGTCAGAATAAGAATGTGTGAACATTAAGGCCGTACACACACCAAAGATAAATGTGCTTTACAGGCTCTTGGTAATGGTTTTCCATCAGTGAAATACGGCTCTTTACTGAAACCTAGTGGCAGCAGAATGAAACTGCAACTACATCAGCAAACGCATGTTCCTCTCTGATATCCCAATGTGCTTTTCAAAAACAACATGTATTTTGGAATGGATACAAAATAACACAAACAAGTAGTTGTTGATATTTCAGTCTAGACAAGAAGAAGAACTTTGTAAAGAAATATTATATTAAGAAAGTAGATTAATGTACTTACAAAAACAATGGAAATTGGTTTGTTATCAGTAAATTATAACTCTTTAGTAATATCTACATTTTCCATCAAGCCAGCAGTTAGGGATCAGATCCCTTGTTGCAACATCTCTACATTTTGTAATTTCTTTTGGCAAAAATCATGTTACACAAGAAATATTAACAATTCAGTACATTAAGCTGTGAAATACTTAACAACATCTTTACATTTTAGCCATTCAGATGAATAAAAACTAGGCTGAAAACTCATCACCTCTTTCATGGAGAGGTCCACCCTGAGACATGTATTTAAAAAATCCACATTACCCTGTGTAAATAGAAATGTGATTGTAAAAAAACAGAAGTATCATCCTTCAAATGCATCCTCTTCAGAGTCCTGACCTCTGGTCCTGAGAAATAAATGATGTATTTCTTAATGGTAATAATAATGTAAAAGGAATTAAATGATATGTGAACAATGTACCTGTGTGAGGATCTGCTCAACTCGGGGCAGCACTGCTGAACTTGACGGCAGCGTACTCTGAGACTTCCTGTTGCTCCGTGTGTCTGAGGGGCCGAGCTGCTCTCATGTTGGAGTAAAGAGGGTCTGCCCGGTTGTTGGAGAAGTGAACGCTGGCATACTGAAGGTCCTCCTGCTGCTCCGGCTGATCAGGTACACACTGCAGGGAGGAAAACACTTTCAGCTACACATTTTTACATTAATAAGTATTTCATTTACAGAGGAATGGACCCAGGACAGAAAAGGCCAAAGCAACAGCAGCTGTGGTAATGATGGGAAAATATCCCTGCTTTATCAACATGATGCTTTATGACAGAAAAGATTAAAGGATCAAAGATAGGAAAACTTCTGGATGTACTTGAAATGTACTCACGTCTAAGAGGAGAATCAAAGAGATTGTGATAGAAATTGTAAAAAGAGCAGCAAGAGGTCCTTCGATGTCAGATCAATTTTCTATAAGCACTTAAAGACCATGAAAATGTATACAGTAATATCTAACAAGGTCTTCAAGTGAGCTTATGTTTCACTTTGTGAAAATCTAAACTGTACATGGAGTGAAATGTGATGTTTTTAGGCTCTCTCTGTTTTAAATAGACTTCATTGTCTCTGTCAGCCAGGATAGTTATTAACCAAGACACTGATGAGGATTTTTCAAAGTTATTTATTATGTGGAATTTAAAAAAACAATTTGACTAGACTTTTGTCATATCAACAACTCTGCATATAACAAATAAGCATGTACACATAGTTGAAGCAGTAATATAGAGCACCTGACCATCGGCTGGTCTTAACGATAAATCATGTTTGACACCTCGACATGATTCACTTCAAGCTGCCAGCAGCTCATTCTCTAAACCTACAAGCTGCTGCTACTGAAAACTGACTATAAAAGCTTTAAGAGTTGAACATGAATATATCCACTTTGCACACATCCTGCACAGCCTCGCTCTCCACAGGGACATTTCAACGTCCTTCTTCTTTGTTTCCGTCAGGTGAGCGTCTGAAGAAAATCACAGAAACTTTGTGTAAAGTTACAGCTGGAACTGTGACTCTAAATGTGGAGTGGGCCTGTTTGATCTGATGCAGGAGGCTCTAACCTGACTGGACTTCACACCAGGTCTCCCTGCTCCTCTGTGTCTTCTGTCTGTGCTGCAGTGTGTGAGTCGTTCTCATACTCAGGAACAGAGTCCAACTGATGAAGAGAGAGAAGAGAAAATTAGACCCTCATTCATGAAACCTGCATATACTTTAAGATTTTATAAAACATTTTTCATATTTTAAAGTTGATGCCAATTATTTCTTGGCTAAATTCATTACTGGTTTCAACTCAGGAAGTTGTCTTTAATCACAAGTTCTCTTCACATTGCATTTATGAGCCACAGTATAGCTTTGACGAAGGGGAAATGTTGTCAATAGGTCCGCTCTCTCTCACCTCTATCTCTTCAGGTTCATGTGCTTCAGTGGTGGAGCGCAGAGCTTTCTTCTTCCTGGATTAAGGGCAACAACAAATACATATTTTATTTCATAACAGTAAACTAAAACACGTAAGAAGGGTGTTTAAACTGATGAATTTCTATTGTTGTACCTCGTCCAGATACTCAGGAGAAACACAGGAATCAGGATCAAGACCCCCAGAGTCGTCCTGATGATATTCACTATCATTGTTGAACTCCCTAGAAACATGAACACATATGTGATACTTCTAACTGCTAGATTGATAAATCACATTGTCAGTGTGATCCACCTCTGACACCATGGAGGTTCCTCCCTGAACACTGACATTTTGAATATGCTTGGGTTGTTTCATATTACAAAGTGAATCAGGTCTGGTGAATGTAGAGAACTTACCTGTTCCAACACTCAGATGTAAGTTGGAGTTACTACGTCCTAACTTGTTCTGGGCTCCACAGGAATAACTCCCACTGTGTTCAGCTCTGAAGTCAGTGATGTTGAAGATCTGTCCTGAAGCTTTTGGAGAGTCTTCATTCTTCTTGTACCAGGTGTAGTTAGCTGCTGGGTTAGCATCACTGCTACAGGTCAGAGTCACTGAACTGCCCTCCTCTATCTCAGCAGAGGGACTCACTGACACAGAGGGGAGCTTTGGAGCATCTGGAGGAAACACAATAAATCAACAAAAGTGGGTAAAAATACACTATGTTGAATTGTGTATTGAAATGATAAATAGTTATCTCTGTGGGAATCTGGAATTTCGAGGTTTTTTCACAGATATAGAGCGGGAAAGAACCATTATGTTGTGTATATACAATATATCATTTTCTGTATTACTGCTGGCTTGAATACCCTGAACATACGTGCAGATTTGGGAGCCAATTGTAGATAAAACTTCATTTTCATCATCTACTGTAGCTGCTCTCCATTTCATTGACCTAAAGCAGCAGACTGAACAAAGTTGTCAATGGGTGCATGATGCTTTTTAAATCATCTGGGTTTTACTCAGGTGTATTTAGCTGCTGGGTTAGCATCACTGCTACAGGTCAGAGTCACTGAACTGCCCTCCTCTATCTCAGCAGAGGGACTCACTGACACAGAGGGGAGCTTTGGAGGATCTGCAGGAGAAGTGTTTAAAGTTATCAACATGGAAGGCTAGAAATAATGGCAACTTGCGAATTGTTTTTCACAAACACAATGCAAAACATGTTAAAGCTTGGAGCATCTGGAGGAGATAACATGAACACATTTCACATTTAATTCCACAGTGGAAGATAGTTTAACCTGTTCCACTCTGAGCCTGTTTTTCAGGTCTCAGGCTCGAAAATGACATTCCCAGAACAAATGACCATATCTTCCCTTCTAAAAGGGTTAAATTAATAATCTTTTTTCTCAAAGTAATGATAAACCTGTGAGTTGGATGTAGAAGTGTCAGAATCAATATAATTGTTTTTTATTTTAAAGAAAATTCAGATTTTACATAGTAAAAAACTGTAAATTATAGTGTCCGTCCAAAAATTATTTTTTACAGATAGTGAAAACTACCCTTGGATGATGGGTTAGTAGACTAAAAGCTTTAGGAATCCAAAGTACAACATATAATAAGTACCCTGTATCAAGATTGATGCAAAACAAGTGAAATTTGACCTTTTTAGAGAGATTTAGCCAAAAACTGGGCCATCTGGGGTCATTTGGGTGGATTTGACCTATCTCTGGCCCCCCTTGCTCGATTTGGTTGGTTGACATACCCTTGTGACCGTTAGAGCCAATAAAATCGAAGGGGGAGGCTTACATACACATTCGTTGTAAATAGAAAAGGTGGGGGCTACGCGTCTAGAACTGAAACTGGATTTGCAGATTTTCTCCTTCTGGAGTTTGGAAACTAAAAATCCGTTTTATTGCTTATGGATTATCAGAAATAATTTCAAAGAAGGCACAGACACATAGGATGAACCTATGGATTAACTGCAGCATCGTTTTTTTATCGTTTTAATGCCATTGAAGACCACTTTTGACCAAGGTAAGCCATATTTACGTGTTTAGCTACTTAGCTCCACATGTGATGATGTACGCTTTCGTTTATAGCGTCGCGAATGTTTATCACTGAGTGTTGAGGAGGGCACCGGTAGATTCAGTGTCTCCAGGACACCAAAAGCGAGTGTTTGGTTGTGCATCTAGGATAAGTAATAAGGGAGTTAGAGTGAGTTTAGGTGCAGAGATGGGTTATATTTTTTCGCTGTTGGCTAATTCAGAGGCTGAGTGCTAGCATTGTGGGTTTTTTTTGAAAAAAAAAATAAAAAAGATCAGTTAGCTGAGTTTCTTCCCGTTACATGGATATAACACATTCATAGTTTTATTCAATATTAAGATTCCTTAGACGTTGTTTCCTGCAAATGACGCGTTTATCCGCCCGGTACCGGGCGGAAGGTTCGTAACAGGTTAACCTATAAACTTTATTACAGACTCAGGGTCCAGATAAAAGACAAGGCATTACATATAATAAATTACATACACAGCATTAACAAAATTCATAGTTTAAGAATAAAAACTATTCTTAACCTCTTAAGCCCCAAGCCTGTTTTTCAGGTCTCAGGCTCGAAAATGACATTCCCAGAACAAATGACCATAACTACACTTCTAAAAGGGTTAAATTAATAATCTTTGGTTGTTGGATGTAGAGAAGTCAGAATAAATATAGATGTTTTTTATTTTAAAGAAAATTCAGATTGAACATAGTAAAAAACTGTAAATTATAGTGTCCGTCCAAAATTTCTTTTTTACTTATAGTAAAAAACACCCTTGAATGATGGGATGGTAGACTAAAAGCTTTAGGAATCCAAAGTACAACATATAATAAGTACCCTGTATCAAGATTGATGCAAAACAAGTGACATTTGACCTTTTTAGAGAGATTTAGCAAAGAAAACTCCACCTCTGGGGTCATTTGGGTGGAAATGGGCTTTTTTTTCATATGGAAATGGGCATATTTGCCGTTTCTCTGTAACCCATTGGTCAATTTTGGTGATTGACATCTCTTTTGAACCGTTAGAGCCAATAGAATCGAAGGGGAATTTCCACATACACACCAACGTTACCATTGAGAAATGAGAGCTATGTGCACGCAGTTTGCCCAAAGTGAAACCTAACTTACGCTCTGAAATCTGAAAACTTAAAACTATGTTTATTGCTGATGGATTATCAGAAATCATTTCAAAGTGACACAGACACATTGGATTAACCTATGGATTAACCTTCAGCAGCGTTTTTATCGTTTTAATGCCATTGAAGACAACTTTTGATCAGACAACAACAAAGGTAAGACATATTGCCGTGTTAGCTACCTAATGCCACGTGTTGTGATGTCTGTTTTTGTTTCTCATGTGGCGAGTTCTGATCATGGAGTGATGATACAGACACCTATCGAATCTGTGTAATCTCACGATGCTAATCGATGGGTTGGATGTGCAGTTACGATAAGTAATAAGGGTGTTATACCGTGAGTTCTGTGCTAACGGCATTAGCATTTCTTCGCTCAGGGCTAATTCAGAGGCTCAGCGTTAGTCTTGTGTTTTTTTTTGCTAAAAAAAAAAATCATCAGTTAGCTGAGTTTCTTCCCGTTACATGGATATGAAACATTCATAGTTTATTAAATCTTAAGAAGCCCTCAGACACTGTTGCTTGCAGATGTTGTGCTTTCGGACCCGCCGAAGGGTCCTTGGGGCTTAACAGTAATGAATAATAGTTTAATAAAACACAGAGTGGGTGGTTAACTTGATTCCATCCTTTATCAGAAATCTAAAAACTTTGAGGGAAAGTGTTAACCTTTATATCATGGAAGAAGTTTCCTTCATAATTCTCGTTTATTCTTCTTTCTAGTAGCATCCTTCGTAGCAAGATTATATTTTACCTATTTTAAAATCAAACAGAAAACCTAGAGCCCTGGTTCAGTGTCTTTGCACACTGCCATGTCTGCTGGCGACCTCTGGTGGGTAAATAGATAAATGATTGCAATGATGATATATGTTATATTGTATGTTTATGTTATTATGTTAGTGGAAGACTGTAAGTAAACTCACACACTGAAGGAGAGGGGAAGTCCTCATATCCCTTCAAAGCACAGGAATAACTGTCTGCAGGACTATAACTGAAGTATGCATAAGGAGATGTGTCTTCCTTCACTTTCTGTCCATTCTTAAACCAGATGTAGGAAGTATGACAACTGCTGAGACACTGAAGGCGAGTAGACGATCCTGATCTTCTCCCCTCCACCTGGAGATCTGAATAAAGGTACAAATATTAAAAAAAAAAAGATCAATAATGTTCATGTATCAAAATTAAAATAAAATGTTAAATGTTTTAAGAGTACAGTTTCAGATACCTGTGACGGACAAAGTGACTCCTGGAAAACCCGAGTATGCAGTTTGGCTTGTTTTGATCCCTAACCAGTACACAGCTGAGTCGCTCTTTCTCAGGTTTCTGATTCTCAGAGTGCAGATGTTGTTTTCACAGAGATCCTCCACACGACCTGCATACTCTGAGAAAGTGCTTGGATCTACACGTTCACCACCTTTCTTTTGAGAAAACCAGCATGTTTTCTCAAATGTGTTAACACGACCATCCGGTGTAGATGGGTATGTGTAGCTGCAGCTTATCTCCACTGTTGATCCATTCACTGCACAGATCTCAGTAGAAGAGTAAGTCACTCCCCAGCCATCCTGACCCTGAACCGCTGTAACACAGAGCACATCAGGAACTATAATCAAAGTTAATGACTTAAGTTAACAATTAGTTAATAAGACTCAGTGAATCAAACTACACATGTGTTAATGGGGTTAATGTAACCAGAACAAGCTTCAAGATCAAATTGTCAGCATACTTTATTATAAAAATGTTCCTGAACATGAATCTATCTAACTAGAGCTGAACTGAAAATAAGAATCATATCATGTATTTATCATAGTTGAGTTTCGAAAATGTGCAAATATAAATATATATTTTACAGAGAAGAGGAGCACATATACGTCAGCTATTAATTCCTTTTAAGGCAGTTTATAACTGCTGCAATACTAATTTATGACTTTGTTGTTTCTGAATTAAACCGGGTAGAACAGAAGTCCAAACACAAGCAGTCAACATGCCAGCATGAACATTACAAGATTAGGAATACTTTTATTTATACAAGTCTGTGCTTTTCTTGTCCAGTTTCCTCTCCGTCTCTGTGGTCAGGTTGCTGCTGAGGTAAGTTTGAACAATATATATAAATGCAGAACACTGAGGTGAGAGCAGCTTCTGTCTGATATACAGATAAGAAAAAGAAGAAGACTGCTTTTAACTCAGAGCGTTGGAATATAACACTGAGGTCAGAGAGGAGAGAAGGAACTAGAAGGGTTTGGTGCACAGGTATGATCGATAAGAGTTGAGTCAATATGTTATGAGAATAGGAATATCTCTCTAAATCACTTAAACTTAAAGTGGACCTATCATGCTATATTTAAATGATATATTGTAGGGCCATACCTATATAAGGTATATTTATACGTTTCTGTTTTCAAAATACCAAACAGATCATGCATTTTAGCCATGCCTCATTTCGCTCTATGTGCTGTTTGCTGTCTACGGGGCTGATTCTGCTGACCACGCCCCCCTGCAGGAGAGGGGAGCCGTGCTCTGATCAGCTGCTGGGCTGTCAGAAGAGGGGGAGAAAAAGAGATCTCCGTCCTCCGTGTTTTATTATATAGAGTCGTTATTCTTTTGTTTTAAAGCTCAATAAATAACAAAGAAGACCTTTGACCGGCACTTTTCTAATTTTGTCCGGAAGATTTAAACTTTAACGGACATCTTGACCGGCGAAAGAAACTGAAACTGAAACTCTGCCGCACGGTCCCCTTGTTCCTTGGAAGAGGCGGAGAGGTGGGTGTTTGTCATCTGCTGGTGGACTAACCGGAGATAATTACAGTGCTTGCCTCGACGGGGAGGGATTGCATTGAATTAAAGCAGCGGGAGCAAACGCTTGCCTCAGGGAGGGAGAAAAAAAGCCACAGCGGAGAATAAACAGAAGGGTAACCATGGTAACTATGGGCGGGAAGTCTTCTTCGCTGCTTTTGTGGCAGACTACAGCGCCACTTACAGGCCTGGCATATGTACTACAGCGTCTCCAGCGCTTTCGAGCGGCAATGGCCGGCCGTGGCCCAACCCCACATTCCCCTGATAGGTGGAGAGTTGGCCCAATAGCCGTAGCGCCACTTCTGTGACGTCATTGAAGTGTTCAAATCTGGATCAGTCTGTATCAGATCCGTTGCAGCCCCTTTTTTAGAGATTAGGGTATGGAGGAAAATAGAGAGGGTTGTGTTTTCTGACACTTGGTGAGTTCCCTGGAACACCGGGGACACATATTCATGTATAAAAGACGTACAAAAGTGCATTTTGCGATTCTTTAAGTCGTCTTAAGAAAAAAAACAAAGCAAAATGTTTTCACAGAGAGGATGGAACAGTTATGCATACACTATATTCTCATTTGAACGCTTGTAAAAGTGATAAGCAAACTGATATTCTATGCAAATGATTGGAGCAAAGGACAGTGGCAACGCACGACAAGATCTTCAGAATATCCATAAAAAAAACTAGTAACGTCTTTGAGTTTCTACAATTCTACACACAAATACATTTAAAATGTTTCTGCTAGGTTTGCCTTTTATACAAATCCATCCCACTTATTCCCACATGTGACCTGATTTTACAAGTCCCACATTTTCCAGAATCCCCTCTGTTCATGTGATGAATGTAAGTGTAGATGTACAGTACCTGACACAGAGAGCAGGAAGACAACTAATCCACTCGCTGCTGCAGTTAAACTCATAGCTGCTCCTCTCATCTCTGTGAGACTATAAAACATGTCAGATTAAATAATGTTCACACGAGGTATACAGAATCATTACATCAAGAAACTGTTTCTACTCACAGTGAAAGAGGAACCATGTGTTGAAAGATGCCTTTCCTCTGTCACCAATGAGCAGAAGACGGATATCAGGCTGGTTAACAACCACATTTACTTCCTGTTTTGACTATTAATATGCATGATGAGCAAAACCCCAGTAACACCCACTACACAGGAAAGAAATGTTGTTTAATGAAATACAAACTTAAAGAGAGGTTCTTCCTATACCACTGAATCCAGAGAATAGCATTCAAATGAAGAAGAGAATAACAGTTCATCTCTATGCGCACTGAGGACGTCACACAGTCTGCAGGTGTAGTAAAGAAACCTGTGAACCATAAGGCAGATTTACTGAACAGGATGATAATAATTATGGCTGTTTAGTTTTAATATTAAAACCAAAGTTTAACCAAACTACAACATGCAGCACAAACTGAATTTTAGCTATCAGTATTTATCTCAGTGAAGAGCAGGACTGTGGCTGTGCTGTGGTCACACACTTCACTCACTCACACACTTCACTCACTTCACTAACTCACACACTTCACTCACTCACACACTTCACGAAACATGTATTACAATGCCGTTATGTGATGACTTTCTAAAAGAAAAGCAAGCACACTCGGAATAATGTATTATTTAATTTTTGTATACTGTCTATGGTTGCTACAGAGGATTGTGGGTAATGTAATGTCTTCGGCCATCCAAAACTCATAGAAAAAGACTTGTTTCTCAGAATTGAAGGGGAAAACGTGACAAAAGCATTGTACACACACTAAAACCTATCAATGTCGTTTAATTAACAAGGATAATCTGGTGTTTTTGAGTTGATGAGTAGTGGAGATATCACTGTCAAATCAATCGACAGTAAGGGGAATACTTACTTCCGGGTGTACAATTCTCCGTTATCCAATGGGAATGGACGCTCACATTGCCTTTAACAGCCTCCGACACAAACGAATGCCGTGCTTCCCTGAGCGTCAAATCCCGCCGCAGATGGGAATACATTGCAATCAGTTGAAAGCTCTTTGCGTCCGTTTATGAAGCTGAAGGAGCCTAGGAGCGTCCCAACTGCACGCCACGGGACCCTGACCAATCGTCGCTCCTGGACGCTTAGGGAGTGAGAGTGTGTTGCATTCACACACACTTCCCTCACTCGCAAACTTCACACACTTCACTCACTCACACACTTCACTCACTGACACACTTCACTCAGTGTGACAGGCTGTCTTTCCTGTGTTCATGTTCTAATGTTTCTTGACAAACACTGTTTTCAATTCAAACACATACAATTTTTTTTTTTTTTTAAATCATAGGTTATAGCATTATTATGGACATTATTTACGGCTTATGACATTAGTTTGAATGCAATTTCACCCTTTTTATTAAAGTAAATCAATACAAAACAGAACATGAAAAAGGAAGACAAATGATATACAAAACAAAGTCGGTAAACACACAAAAGAGAATTATAGTTGACAAGCTCTTGGAAATAGTTTGCTATGAATGAAATACGTCTCTTTACTAAACCCTAGTGGCAGCAGTGTGGAACTGCAGCTACATCAGCTAACTTATGTTCCTCTGTAATATCCCAATGTGCTTTTCAATAGCAAACATGTATATTTGTACTTAAAGGTGGGGTAGGTAAGTTTGAGAAACCGGCTCGAGATACACTTTTTGTTATATTCCATGGAATGCTCTTAACATCCCGATAGCAATGAATATCTGAAGTGCTTTGACAAAAAATCCATAAAAAAATGTCATCTGTGGAAGCTGTAATACTGTAAAAAGCACGACCAATCATTTTAGCCGGCCCGGCTAAAATAACTGGATGGCCTACCTGCCTGTCACCTCTGGTCCTGAGAAATAAATGATGAGTTTTTAGTGCTAATAATAATGCAAAAATAAATTAAATGATATATGACATTTTTTCCTGTGTGAGGATCTGCTCACCTCGGGGCAGCACTGCTGAACTTGACGGCAGCGTACTCCGGGACCTCCTGTTGCTCCATGTGTCTGAGGGGCCGAGCTGCTCTCATGTTGAAATAAAGAGGATCTGCCCGGTTGTTGGAGAAGTGAACGCTGGCATACTGAAGGTCCTCCTGCTGCTCCGGCTGATCAGGTACACACTGCAGGGAGGAAAACACTTTCAGCTACACATGTTTACATTAATAGGTATTTCATTTACAGAGAAATGGACCCAGGACAGAAAAGGCCAAAGCAACAGCAGCTGTGGTAATGATGGGAACATATCCCTGCTTTATCAACTTGATGCTTTATGACAGAAAAGATTAAAGGATAACAGATAGGAAAACTTCTGGATGTACAAGGAATGTACTCATGTCAAAGAGGAGAATCAAAGAGATTGTGATAGAAATTAACTTTTTATAGAAGGATGTAAAAAGAGCAGCAAGAGGTCCTTCTATGTCGGATCAATTTTCTGGAAGCACTTAAAGACCACCATCATTATAAATTGAGTGTAATATGTTTTCTTTTGTACTCGATTAATTATGTAAGCATCTACTCTCACCTCTTCCCTGTTGTCCGCTCTCTCTTCGGGCTCAGACGAGTCTCTGGAAGCCCTCTTTCTTCTGGTTAGGAGAGTTTATGAAGAAGCAGAAGATCAAATGTTGACACCAGACAAACAGACTTTTAATGATTTAACAAACAATGATTAAGATGATCAGATCTGCTCACCTGATCCACAGGAAGACAGAGAGAGAAATGACAGCCAGGAGAACAACAGGGATTGATACAGCAGCTGGTAGTAGCTTCCATGATCCTCCTGAGAAACAGTGATCAACAGAGAACAGATGGTTAATACAGCAGTGTTTCTCATATATGGATACAAGGACCCCTAGGGGCACTTTGGAGTATTACAGGGGGTGTGTAATATAATAGATAATAATAGAATAGAATTGGAGGGATGAAACCCTCTGTCACACATGCAGAGCACACAGCGCACACAGTGACATCTGTTCTCTGCTTTTAACCCATCCTGGTACTAGGAGCAGTGTAAGACTATATTTTCAACCTTCCTATTCCTAAACCAATATACTATAATTTGTTTTAAAAGTAATGTTAATAAAAGAATAATTGTCCAATGTTCAAGAAGCTGAAACAAATGCAAATACATTCATGATATTGTTAGTTTTGTGATGAACGGGTGATTATACTCCATTCATTATTTCCTTCTCAATACCGATGGAATATCTCTCAGCCTGTGGGCACTTGCACTTGGCATAAGCTTCACAAAACAGACACAACTCTCACTCTTGAGTGCACAGGGAATGACTGCACCCCATACTGAATCTGGACCCTCAGGATAATGAATTCCTTATGTAAAAGAAAGAAAACAACCCCTATCCCGAACCGGAAAGGTGCATTTGAACACACACTCCTTTTTCAGCCTCCTACCCAGACAATGTGACTGAAACCAAACAAGCTGAATTTAATGAAAACATTATGAACCCTATCCCTGATCCAAGAATAACATTGGAAATCTGACTACCATGCAGATGATGTGACTGAAATAAACAAGCTTATAAGTGTCTGGTAGTGGATGAATGCATAAAACGTACCTGCCACAACAATCTGATGTAAGGTGGAGTTACTACGTCCTAACTTGTTCTGGGCTCCACAGGAATAACTCCCACTTTGTTCAGCTCTGAAGTCAGTGATGTTGAAGATCTGTCCTGAAGCATTTGGAGAGTCTTCATCCTCCTTGTACCAGGTGTAGCTAGCTGCTGGGTTAGCATCACTGCTACAGGTCAGAGTCACTGAACTGCCCTCCTCTATCTCAGCAGAGGGACTCACTGACACAGAGGGGAGCTTTGGAGCATCTGGAAAAAGGATATAGAAATGGAAAGTATTTCAAATATTAAAACATGTTATCACACATGATTGAATTTAATTTATTCATTATTATTTATATATTGTGATGTAGATCCTTGTGTTAGATTCCTGGAAACTGGCAGCCAATAACAAGTCTTTATTTATCTTTTCTACATCAATGACCCCACACATTCTTCTCCTTTTATTACAAGGCTTAGTTGAATACTTGATTCTGATTGGTGAATTTGGACATTTCAGAGGTTGTTAATACTCGCTAACAGAACACTGCTAAGGATAACATGACTGCTGTTAAGGAGGATCAAGGGACTATGTGCAGTCATATCAATCCGCAGAAAGAAGTCCGGTCGATTTAACGTCAGCCGTGGACAGCAAACATTTTCTCCATCATAAAACACATAGTACTTTTTGAATAGTCATATTTATATTTATTGAAAGCACTGGCCAGTTAAATAAACTGTGAACAGTTACTTGGACATAATTTTTAAACACTTGTAACACTTAACATGTTTGGCTTATTGTAAGCTAATGTGCTTGCAGGATACTTTTTTTATCTTTATGGTTGTCTGCACTTATTGTTAGTCGCTTGTATGAAAATGAAATTGATGTAATGAACTTCAGAAGACCCCGGTGACTCCGGTATGTCTGAATTTGTCATTGTTTTGTAATGTCAGTGTGTATTTATTAGTAAACTCACACACTGGAGGAGAGGGGAGGTCTTCATGTCCTTCAAAAGCACAAGAGATGTTGTCTCTGGGCTGAAACAAGCCTTTATAAGAAGATTTCATCGTCGTCGTGATTTTCTCTCTGTTCTTGAACCAGACGTAGTTCAGAGAACCAGCTGGACTGCAGCTGCTGTGACACTTCAGCTCTGCCTCAGTAGAATAGTTGTAGACCTTTGCTCTGATCACCTGCACCTGGAGAGCTGGACGTTAGAACAAGAAACATTAGTATAGCAAAAGGTCTTTTTTTTTATAGATGTACATACACATTAACACAACTGTGTATTGCTATTTGGAAATAAAGAGCAATAGTAACTCTTCATCCAATAGTCATTACACAAACATTTCCAGTATTTGTAGGTGTACTGTGTATTTGATTGATTGTATTGAAGTTCGAATTAAGACATTGAAATTCACTCTTGGCTTCCTTTACAGACTTAAATGTTGTTTTTCAACTTCTTCCCGTAAAAAGTTGGTCTCTGGCTTATTCCTGTCCCAGCTGGACTACGGTGATACAATCTATAGATTTGCCTGTCTCACTGTTTTGGCCAAACTTGACCCACTCTACCATGCTGCACTTGTCCTACCCTGTTTTAAGTTGAAGTTGTCTGAAGTCCTCACCACCAGCTGCTCTTGCAGTAATAAGTAGTGTACCTTTCTTACTGTCCTAATGTGCACAATGTAGTGACTGCTTTTCGTCTTTTGTTTACTTAGTTATGTTCTCTGTATTTTATATGTCTGTGTTACGTGTAAGAACGTGTAACATTGCTGCCTTCTTGGCCAGGTCAGCATTGTAAAGGAGATTTTATCTCAATGCTTTTATTTGGTTAAATAAAGGTTAAATAAATAAAAATAAAAATAAAATGTTCATCTGTGTGTGTTGATCAGTACCTGTGACAGTCAGAGTTGTACCAGGTAAATCACTCCTCCATTCAAAGCTTGATGTTTTGAATGTGAAGAGATACTGAGCTGAATCTGAGTCTCTCAGGTCAGAGATCCTCAGAGTGGAGCGTCCTCTCTCTGTTTCAAGGATCTGAACACGACCTGCATACTGGGGGTCTTCACTAAGGTCCTCAGGCTGAGAGGGATTCTGTCCCTGATGACGACGCTCAGGAATGAACCAGAACTTAGATTTAACATCGTCTTCAAAGCTGCTGTACATGCAGGAAATGTTCACTGATGATCCTTTGGGGGCGCAGATGCTTCTCTCAGTGTAAATCACTCTGTTGCAGGTTTGACCAGTGACACCTGAAAAATAAAAACATGTATTTTTTTGTATTTTTCAGCAATAATTTGAACAGGAGTAAAAAAGGACCAATAGAGTTCAATATAAAACGCCACTAGATGTTTATGTGTTAATAGAAGTCTTTGGAGTAAACTCACACACTGCAGGAGAGGGAAAGTCCTCATATCCCTTCAAAGCACAGGAATAACTGTCTGCCTTGTTCGGGTTGCTTGTATAACGAGATGTTTCTCCCTGGATTATTTGTCCGTTCTTGTACCAGATGTAGGAAGGATTAGAAGATTGAGGACAACTGATCTGACAATACAGCCAGTTTGTATCTGATGTGACCTGGAGATCTGGATCTATGAAGGAACATACATGTTATTTAAGACAAAACGTTTCAAAACACAAGCATATTATTATTATTATATCCAAGACATTCATAAATCATTAACATATCATTGAGAATTGTTACTTGAGACGGACAAAGTGACGCCAGTCCAACCACCATATTTTCCTCCTGCTTGGTTTGTTTCAAACTTGAACATGTACTCAGCTGAGTCGCTCTTTCTCAGGTTTCTGATTCTCAGAGTGCAGATGTTGTTTTCACAGAGATCCTCTACACGACCTGCATACTTTGAGACTGTTTTCAGATCTACACGTTTACCACCTTTCTTTTTAGTGAACCAGAATGTTTTCTCCACTGTGTTAACACCACCATTCCATGTATATGGGTATGTGTAGCTGCATCTTATCTCCACTGTTGATCCTTTCACTGCACAGATCTTAGTAGAAGAGTAAGTCACTCCCCAGCCATTCTGACCCTGAACCACTGTAACACAGAGCACATCAGAAACTAGAATCAAAGTTAATCTATAAATTGTTGAGAAATTGCCTGATCAGTACTTTCAACAAAGAATGTAAAAATAAACATGTTACAAACGTTACTGGATAGAGCAGAAAAACACATGTGAATTCCTTCTTAGGCACTTTAAAACCAATGATACTCTTTGACTTTGTTGTTTCTTAATCAAACCAGGCAGAACAGAAGTCTACACAAAAAGGGTACGGTCAGTTTGACACGAGATTGGAAAATGCTTTCATATAAATGAACAGTGAATGATTAGCGATCATATTAATTAGAATAGTATGTGATTCTCTGAACAGTTCCCTCTCTGTTCGCTCTGTGGTCAGGTTGCTGCTGAGGTAAGTGTGACAATAAATGCAGAACACTGAGGTGTGAGCAGCTTCTGTCTGATATACAGATAAGAAAAAGAAGAAGACTGCTTTTAACTCAGAGAGGTCAGAGAGTAGAGAAGGAACTAGAAGGGTTTGGTGCAGAGTGTTGACATGAGAGAAGTTGAGACAGTATAAAATGACTAGTAAGAAAATATCCCTCTAAAACACTAACATTTTTATGAAAACGACAAACGTTTTTTAAACAGGCTCATCTTAAAAATAAAACATAGCAAAATGTTATAACATGGTGAGGAGGGAACAGTTATGAATGAACAATATTATCAGATTGAAGCGTGTAAGAGTAATAAGCACACAGTTACTTTTGTGTTCAAATTACGTTGACCAATACAGGAAATACATTTTTACAAGTATCCATTACATGTAACACTAAAAAACTACTAAAACTTGGTAACATCTTTGTGTTTCATCAAAGCTACACAAAACATATATTTGGAATATTTCTGGAAAGTTTGCATTTCATCCAACCCGGATCCACCTATTTCCACAAATGACCTGATTTTACAAGTCCCACATTTTCCCAGAATCCCCTCTGTTCATGTGATGAATGTAAGTGTAGATGTACAGTACCTGACACAGAGAGCAGGAAGACAACTAATCCACTCGCTGCTGCAGTTAAACTCATAGCTGCTCCTCTCATCTCTGTGAGACTATAAAACATGTCAGATTAAATAATGTTCACAGGAGGTATACAGAATCATTACATCAATAAACTGTTTCTACTCACAGTGAAGGAGGAACCATGTGTTCAAAGTTGCCTTTCCTCTGTCGTCAATGAGCAGAAGACGGAAATCAGGCTGTTAATAGAATCGATTTCCTTCCTCTTTAGATTATTAATATGCATGGTGAGCCAAACCCCAGTAACACCCACTGCACAACAACGTTTTATTGTTTTAAAAAAGTATACACGTTAAAAGACACTTCGGTTAAACATTTGTTTCACTGCCAATATTCCACTGACACCAGAAAAGAGCATTTAAGATAATAACAGTTGATCTCTATGAGCACTGAGGACGTCACACAGTCTGCAGGTGTAGTGAAGGAACAGGAATGCATTAACCTGTGAACCCACGAGGCAGTTTAACTGAACAGGATGAAGAGAACCAAATTAATTATAAGAGAGGATGGAAAATGCCATGTCATTGTTTTTGGTTTGTTTCTTCTCTCTTATCTCTGTGGTCAGGTTACTTAATTATTTTTGAGAAATGCAGAACTTTCACATGCAGGGCTGTCCCCCCCTACAGGCCAATCATGCAGGCTGCATGGGGCCTCACATTGCGCAGGGGGCCTGGGCTTATGAGCTCGGCTTGTGCGCAGTTCTCAGCGCAGTTCTCAGCGCAGTTCTCCGCGCACCCCCCCCCCCCCCCCCCCCCCGCAAGAGTGAGAGGTGACAACAAGGTAACCGACACCGTTGCAATGACTCGACATCTGACCACTCACGGCTTTGATACGGCCACTAGTGCAGGTGAAGAGATGTCGGCGAAAAGACAGTTTCAGTCCGGCGCAAGCAAGAGGGGAAAGGTGTGGCTTCCGGTTTCGCTATGAGTGGTCGCATTTTCGAGAGCTCCCGCTTTGGAGGTTATTCCTCACGATTTTTTACATATTTCATCCTCCTGACAATATGGATTATGGACTCCTACCTCAACTCATCAATGAGGCAACATCACTTAGAGAAGGAGAGTAGTGAAAGCAGGGATAAAATGAACCACAATGACTTTTACCTTCTCAACGGCTGGGAAAGGAAACACCTCGCTTTTGGAAGTGCAAGCATTCATGCATTATTAACTGCAAACCCGACGCGAAAGTACTTACCCCCGTCAGGCAAACTAGACCGAAGAAGTATGATCGTCTTGGTCTTATTGTTAGCGGGAGACATCCATCTGAATCCGGGCCCGGTGCAGACAAGAAGCCATTCCTGCAGGCTCGAGGAGCTAGCATCACAACTAGCATCACAACTAGCATCTCTTCCGCTACAGCAACAACTACGCGACGACAACAGAGACCATGGAGACAGCGGAGACCGAGGAATCAACGGAGACTTCGACATTCCCCCGGGGACGCCTCGGCAGACAGACACGCATGAGGCAGTGACGAGAGGAAGAGAACCGAGATCCGAGGGAACAAATATCCACCATGTTGTTAGCCACCCTGCTAGCATATCGACGGCTAAAGCTACAACGGAGCCTCCCTCCCCCCACCACCCCACCGCTCCAAGCACCACGGCAGGCCGCAAGCCGTTTGCTGTAACGGACAAAGACAAATATCTTCAAGCTGACGACATTATGCATTTAAACAACAAAAATGGACTACATATTTTTCATCTGAACACTAACAGCCTGAGACACAAACTGGCTGAACTCAGGCAACTGTTCATGAACGGTAAGGCAAGCATATTATGCTTTTCTGAGACCAAATTGGACAATTCCATTACAGATTCAGAGATTGAAATTGAAGATTATCTTGTAGTGAGAAGGGACAGGAACGTGAATGGAGGTGGTGTCTGCATGTACATACATAAAGACACCAATTTCAAAAACCGTACTGACCTGCATCATGAAAATATTGAATCTGTGTGGGTTGAAATTCTTTTTGACAATGCTAAATCTGTAATAGTCGGGACAATCTATAGACCACCGGAACAGAGTGACTTTTATGATACATTAGATGGGTGTTTGGCTGATGTGGGGGATGTAGAGACAATTATTATTGGAGACTGGAACACGGATATGCAACGTAAAGACACGTCCGTCTTCAAGTCCTTCAGTAGGATTTGTGATCTGCACGGCTTCAGCCAGCTAATCACCCAACCCACCCGGGTATGTGAAACAACACAAACTACCATTGATCTCATTCTGACCTCTGACAGGTCCAGGATCTCCAGTAAAGGGGTTATAGCATGCGGTTTAAGTGATCATTATATGATATTCTGTACCCGCAAAAAGCTAAAACAAAAGGCCGGCTGTCACAAAACAGTCATATCTAGAGACCTCAAAAACTACTCTAGCGAGGCCTTTAACCTAGAACTGGAGAGCCTGGACTGGTCAGATGAGCTCAGTGGTACACAAGTTGAAGAAACATGGCTTGGTTTCAAAAACAAATTCTCTGCAATACTCAATGATTTGGCCCCCCTAAGAACAACCAGGGTAAAAAATCGCGCTGAGCCGTGGATGCACTCCGGCATACTGACCGCCATGAAAACCAGAGACAAAAAATGCTCTGAGTTTCATAAAAGTCAGTCAATGCTTTCCAAAAGCACGAGCAGTGAACTCCAGGCCCACGTGACTGAACTAAAAATTGAAAGAAACAGACTAAGAAATGACGTAAGCTCCATGATCAAAACTGCCAAAAAGAATTTCATCAATGACAAAACTGAGGAAAACAAAAATAAACCCCGTGAACTTTGGAAATTACTCAATAACCAGCTTGGCTGCAGTAAAAAACTCAAAACGAGATTTTCAAACGTAAACATAAAGACAGATAACAGGCTCATCACAGACAAACTGGATGTGGCCAAGTACTTGAACATTTTTTTCACAAACATAGCCACAACTCTTGTAAATAAATTACCCTCCCACTCAGGGCTTTTTGGAGTAGATCACATCATGACCTACTACAAAAACCTAGGGGTACGCAAAGATGATTTCAGTCTAGCAAGGGTAACAACAGCAGAGGTACTCATTAAACTGAGCGCCCTCAAACCTAACAAGGCCACTGGCCACGACAATATCCCCTCCAAATTCCTCAGAGACACAGCAACCGCCATCTCACCAGTCATAGCTCACATAATTAACCTCTCCATAAAACAGGGAAAAGTACCCAAAGACTTCAAAATTGCAAGAGTAACCCCCCTGCACAAAAAGGGCAGCAAATTGGACCCAGGCAACTACCGCCCTGTTTCTATACTTACCTCCATCTCGAAAGTCATGGAAAAAATAGTATATGAACAGGTCGAAAAGTACCTCGCAGAAAAGAAACTAATCTATGAATTTCAATCTGGCTTTAGAACATCCCACTCCACTGACACATGCCTACTTTATTTGAACGACCACATCAAACAAGAGGTGGACGAGGGTAAATACTGCGGCATGGTGATGCTGGACCTACAAAAGGCTTTCGACACTGTCAATCACCCCATTCTGATTGACAAGCTAAAAGCAATTGGTTTTGATAAACTATCGGTGAGCTGGATGCAATCCTACCTGGAGGGGAGAGAACAGATGGTGGAGGTAAACGGTACTCTGTCCCCCCCCCTCCCAGTGAGCTGTGGTGTTCCACAAGGAAGCATATTAGGTCCGTTACTGTTCCTAATTTATGCAAATGACATGTCATCAGCATGTGACTGCAACTTGTTCCTGTTCGCGGACGACTCAGCCCTGCTGGTCTCTGACAGGAGCAGATTGCAGGTTGAAAAAACCCTCAGCTCCGAGCTCGGCAGAATCTGCACCTGGCTCGCCGATAATAAATTATCATTACACCTGGGTAAAACAGAGTCCATTCTCTTCGGTTCGAAACATAATCTCAGCAAATCCGACGACTTCTCAGTTGCAGTGGGTGACATTATTGTCACAAGTAAGAAGGAAATTACATACCTAGGATCTATTCTTGAGGCAAACCTCTCCTGTGACAAAATGGCATCCAATGTAATAAAAAAAGTCAATCAAAGAACTAGATTCCTATACCGGATCTCCTCTCTGGTAAACAAAAACACCCTGAAAACTCTGGCAGGAGCACTCATTCAAGGGTACTATGACTATGCTTGCACGTCATGGTACCATAGCACCTCCAAGGCGCTAAAAATAAAACTTCAAACATCGCAAAATAAACTGGTCAGACTACTGCTTGACCTTTCATCTAGAACCCACCTCACCTCTGCCCACTTTGACAACCTAGGATGGCTTAGAGTAGACGACAGAGTACAGCTACTTGCAATGGGCCTGGTCTACAAGATCCACTACACCTCTATGGTACCCATGTACATGTCAAAATTCTTCCCAAAGGTCAAGGAATACCATGATCATAACACCAGAGGGAGCTCCACAAATCATGTAAAACCCAGATTTGGCACAAAAAAAGGGGAATACACGTTTCGCAATTATGCCACATCAAGGTGGAACGCTCTTCCCACAACTGTAAAGGAAAGTAAAACTATACTTACCTTCAAAACCTCTCTTAAAGAGCACCTTCGGGGGAAAGCATTGCAAAACTGGCCCCGGTAATGGTACAAATCTCAACCTGTCGTACAATGGACAGCTTCCCCCCCCCATCTATGTATATACTCGCATTTTAGACTCTGTTACTAACTGTATATCTGTAGACTTGGTATGTCTTAAATGTCCGGTTAGGATGTATTAGAACGTAATCTAAAATGAAAATTGTAAATAAGCCATCTGTATGTAAAAAACCACCTGTATGTAAATTGTAAATAAGCCATCTGTATGTCAAATATGTCTTATATGTCTTAAATGATATGATGAATTGGAAATGGGGGACCCTGATGTAAACAAGACGAAAGTCTTTCTCTGGTCTGCATCCCCTTAACAATTGTATGTTTTGAGCTGTACTGTACTGTACCCAATATACAAGCTGTTAATAAACTTTTCAATCAATCAATCAATCAATCAATCAATCAATCAATCAATCAATCAATTCAATCAATCAATCAAAAATAAAATAAAATGAAGAAACTAGAGCATCACTCGAAGGTGGGTTATTGTATGAGTCAAATGTACAACTTGCGAATGTTGTATTATAAGTCAAATGTCAAACTTTTGCCAATTACATTACATGTCACTTGTTAGACGCTTTTATCCAAAGCGACTTACATACATTCAGTAGGCTACTGTGGACAATTCCCACAGGAGCAATTTAGGGTGAAGTGTCTCAGGGACACAACGACATGCTGACTGCAGTGGCACTCGAACTTGCTACCCCGTGATTCAAAGTTCAGCGCACTAAATTCAGCGCACAATTCCACTGAGCCACAGCCTCCCCCAATTGCCATATTAAAACATCAGCTGCAATTCACGACATGAAGAAGGCAGTCTCTGCATAGCATATAGGCTAATGGAGATGCAGTTATTTCCAGCATTATTAATTTACCATTCATTCAAGTATTTAATGCCTTTTATCTGCTAATGTACAGGAGGAAGAGTGATACACTGTCTGTCTAGTTGGCTTACATGACAGTTCAAGTTTACAGCCTAAAAAACATGGATCATTTCTTCCCCTTTTATTCATTTTTATGTCAATTTGCACATTTCATGGTGATGCTCAGCCTCTCCCCCTAACTCCTAACAGTCATCATCATGTCAACCACAACACAGAGAAATACTAATGTGTGTGTAGTTGTTGATACATTGCTGACAGAGGGAACTACATTTGAATACAGATTTAAGAAATATCAGTTTTTGAGCATGTAATAAGCATGTTTTGTCTAGACTATATTAAAACGATATTATAATAAAATAATATAGTATTTATATTATTTAATTGATTATGATTATGATTACTATTATTAGTAGAATTAGTTTACTTGCATTAATTATATTTTAATATTTTTGAGGCTAGTATTTTCACTATATTCATTCTGTCGTGCACTATTAAGATCAAAACATATCTTAAGTCTGCTTGAATGATGGATTTCTTGTCTGCATTGGTCCAGGAGATCATCAACCTCCCAAAGATGCCACTACAAAAAACTGCTCTGGAGATGTTGTAATTTCTCCACAAAAGTGAGTTACAGGAACTGTACCCAAATCTCTGGATTGCCCTCCGCATTGCAGTAACTCTTCCTGTTACAGTTGCGTCTGCTGAGAGAAGCTTTTCAAAACTCAAGCTTATGAAGACGTACCTCCGGTCGTCAATGGCACAAGCACGCTTAAGTGGCCTGGCTATCATAAGCATCAACGCACAGTTGGCACAGCAGCTGTCATACGATGACCTTGTCGATGACTTTGCATCCAGGAAATGCTGACGTATTCACCTGTAAACGCATACTGAACGACATTCATGCACATTTACCATTTACCTCACTGTATAAAAAAGTAACTGTGTTGATAAGAATTATATTTGCAAAGTACTTTGTTTCCAAAAAATATGTTTGTCGCTTGGGGCCCCAAGTTGACCAGGGACGGCCCTGCACACATGGACTGGTACGACAGACAATGTTTGATAGATGTTGATTAGAAAACAATACTTTAAATTACTTTGACTTGTTTAAGTGGATCAGTTAGAAAAGCAGTGTGCAGAGAGGTCTTACTTTAAGTTAACCGCACTGCATGGAACAGACTTCATATGAACCATCAGCATGGCTAGATACCACTGGAGGTGAGATAGGAAATACATATTATTATAGTTTTGGTGAAATGCCCCCAAAGAGACTTCCACTAGAAAGTGGAGGGAGCTCTCAGAGTGATGAAGCCTGAATGTGCAACAGTTAAGATCCCCCACTAGAGGACAGTGAAACATCACAGATACTGAACAGGACCCTGAAACACATTTTAACATCCAACACTGATAGATACTTTAACATTTGATAAATAAATCTGCTTTTTTTTAGTCTTTAACCATGACATTTAATCCATTACACTTTGGAGGTCATACACAGCATATTAGACAAAACGTTCACACCTGTGAGCAACATTGACATATTACAACAGCATCAAACTCTTACAAGTTTTACTTCAATACCTGAGGATGAAGGGATGTAAAAATAAAAGGATGAATGGAACTAGAGAGGGAGGGTTTAACAGATGAAGGGTTTAGGGAGAAAGGAATGAAGGGATGAAGGGATGAATGGATGAATGGATGTGGGGATTAAGGGTCGAAGTTATGTAGGGAGGGAGGAGTGAAGGGAAGTAGGGGGGAGAAATGGCCGAAGGGATGAGGGGAGGAAGTGATGAAGGGATGTTTAGATGAAGGCTCATGGGAAAGAGGGATAGAGGGATATAGGGTTTAAGAATGAGTTATGGAAGGAACATTAAAGGGATATGGAGGAGAAGGTTCAAATGAGGGAGGGATGAATGGAAGAGGGACGTGGGGATGAGTGAGTGTGCAAAGGAGGGAGGCGAGTTAGGGATGTAGAGAGGAAGGGATAAAGGGATGATGGGATGAAGGGATGAAGGAAATATTGGATGAAGGGATGAAGGAAAGATTGGATGAAGGGAAGAAGTGCTGGATAGATGAAGGGAAGTAGGAAGGGTGGGATCAACTCGCAACATCCCAGATTATATTACAAATCTATTCCACTGTGTCTCGTTTTATCCTCACAGTGACACATAGTGGCAATTTGAGACTTAAACCAAAGCAACATTTACTTGTTGTTTTTTGTATAAATTAGTGAATGATATAAAGGTTATATTGTAAAAAATAAATACATAAAGAAGCTGAAACCTTTCTAAACTCACATGTTTCCAAGTTGTCCGATGATCCATTTCCTTGATATAGAAGCTGGCTTTTATTTTAATTAAACACAGAAACACTTGAAAAATGTTGCTAGTTGCTAGAAGGGTGCTTCTGTTTTCATGTTGATTTAAATTTGTCACAATCTAAAGTGGGCATGGAGTAAAATGAGATGTTCCTGGCAAGCCAAGAAGCTGATCAGGGTTTTTCAAAAGTTATTTATTATGTGGAATTAAAAAAAACAATTTGACGAGACTTTTGTAATATCAACAAATCTGCATATAACAAATAAGCATGTATACATAGTTGAAGCAGTAATATAGAGCACCTGACCATCGGCTGGTCTTAACGATAAATCATGTTTGACACCTCGTCATGATTCACTTCAAGCTGCCAGCAGCTCATTCTTCTAAACCTACAAGCTGCTGCTACTGAAAACTGACAATACAAGTTTGCAAATCAAGCTGAATATATCCACTTTGCACACATCCTGCACAGCCTCGCTCTCCAAAGGGATATTTCAACGTCCTTCTTCTTTGTTTCCGTCAGGTGAGCGTCTGAAGAAAATCACAGAAACTTTGTGTAAAGTTACAGCTGGAACTGTGACTCTAAATGTGGAGTGGGCCTGTTTTATCAGATGCAGGAGGCTCTAACCTGACTGGACTTCACACCATGTCTTCCTGCTCCTCTGTGTCTTCTGTCTGTGCTGCAGTGTGTGAGTCGTTCTCATACTCAGGGATAGAGTCCAACTGATGGGGAAAGAAAAACAATATGAGGCTTTCATTCATGAAACCCGCATTATTTAAGATTTTACCTAAAATAATTGTAATGATGTTTCAAAGTAGATTAGTTGATGACGTTGTTTACAATGCATTACCAGTCGCTATGGAGCAGGTTTTATTTAAAATATGAGTAGATTTTCGCATTAATGAACACATTCCTACTCGTGACATAGGGGAAGTTTTGTCGATAGGGCGTCTTTCTCTCACCTCTATATCTTCGGGTTCATGTGCTTCAGTGGTGGAGCGCAGAGCTTTCTTCTTCCTGGATTGAATACAACAACGAATACAGGTTTTACCACAATGAAATTCATAACATTGAAACTTCAGCATGATGCATGGTGGGTGAACTGATGTATTTCTATGGTTGTACCTCATCCACAGAATCAGGAGAAACACAGAGATCAGCATCAAGACCACCAGAGTCGTCCTGATGATATTCACTATCATTGTTGAACTCCCTAGAAACATGAAAAACACCTCAGTAGTATATTGATACATTCCTTTGTCAGTGTCATCCACCTCTGACACCATGGAGCTTCCTCCCTGAACACTGACATTTGTATTTTCTCTACACCAGTTAATTGCTTCATATTACAATGTGAATCAGGTCTGGTGAATGTAGAGAACTTACCTGCCACAACACTCAGATGTAAGTTGGAGTTACTACGTCCTAACTTGTTCTGGGCTTCACAGGAATAACTCCCACTGTGTTCAGCTCTGAAGTCAGTGATGTTGAAGATCTGTCCTGAAGCTTTTGGAGAGTCTTCATCCTCCTTGTACCAGGTGTAGTTAGCTGCTGGGTTAGCATCACTGCTACAGGTCAGAGTCACTGAACTGCCCTCCTCTATCTCAGCAGAGGGACTCACTGACACAGAGGGGAGCTTTGGAGCATCTGGAGGATAAAATAGTTTAAATAAATAACATTATTGGATGTATAATTCTGCATGATTTAATGTCATCATTTATTTTAGATGTAGACCCTTGAGCTCTAAAACATTAAACTTTTCCTTTTTGTAACTGACAGCCAATAACAATTTAATATATTAGTTCTTAATTATTAACACCTCTACACATTATTCTCTTTATATTATAACAGTCCTGACTGTCTTCAGTTCTAGTTGTTGCGAGGGTGTCAATTATTTTTTCAATACCACTTCCTGGTTTTTGTCTTGTAAATAAACATCTGCGCATGAATATAATAACATTAAGACTAACATACTGTATGAAAATATATACTGTATTTCACTGGGGGTGATACGAATACATTTCCTGGTTTATGAGAAGGCAACTTTTACTTTTCATGTGACTAAACTTAAGAGCATAACGGGAGAAAAATGTGGGGGATGGAAGAATGCCTGTTAGATCAACTTTATTATCAGTCTGAGATTTGTGTGACCTTTTATATTAATGCATAATGTAGCTGTTAATCAATCGACAAAATATGAATATTGTACAAATTATTATACTAACAACAGTGAGCTGAACAATACTGTCACAGTCTGCTTTCTCACTCACCTATTTTCTGCATTAACATTCCTTAGTCACCTGGTAGCCACACCCTGTCTCTCTTTCACTCTGTTACACCCATCAGCTCCAGTAGTATATAGGCCCACTTCACTCTCACCTCAGTGCCAGATCGTACTTTGCAGCATGCCAGTCTTTCCAGCATTACCCTCCAGATTGCTCTCCCGGTTCCGACCCTGCCTGTCCCTGACCTGCCTGCCTCGCCTGATTCCTGACCCTGCCTGTACCCGGACTATTCTGCCACGCCTGCTCCCTGACCCGGTCTGTACCTGCGACTCCCGTCTTGCCTTCTCCTGGAACCCTCGCCTGTCCCCGACCAGCCCTTTGCCTACTACCTGCCTTTTCGTCTCCTACCAGTTATTGCCTTCAATAAAGCTGGTTACAGACTATCCCTGGTTTCCCCGTGTTTTGCATTTTGGTCCTCAGCTCGTTTGTGACAAATACAACATATATAATTATGACTAGGCCCCTACTGTTCTTTTACCCCCTTAAATGATCTTGTGGGCCTTCATCATGATCAAATTACATTGCAGGTCATTTACTGTATTTTTATTCATTGTGCACCTGAAACCTGGAAAACACAAAGAACTATCTGAAGCTAACGTCACTGTTATCCTTAGTTTATTATTTGATTTCATCCAAATGGACTTCCAGGTGTCGATTTAGTATTTCAATTGAATAATTTAACTGCTTTATTTATTACTCAATTGTTTTGTGATCTATTTGGTAAGTATAGGATTTCCTGTTATTGTTTCGTTTTTAACTAACTAGATGGCCTATTTACAGGTCACAGTTTAGCTAGGTTTTCTGTAAAAGATACTGCGGTGTCCATATTAAGATTCAGAAGACTACTGAGAGATATGTCTGAAACTGTTATGATATTGTAATGTCAGTGTGTGTGTTGATAAACTCACACACTGGAGGAGAGGGGAAGTCTTCATTTCCTTTAATAGCACAGGAATATCTGTCTGCAGAACCAAGTGTGAATAAACCAGTAGAATATATTGACTCCGGAGTTATCTGTCCGTTTTTGTACCAGATGTAGGAAGTATTTACAGGTACAAGACACTGGTTCTGACAGTCCATCTCTACCTGGTCAGTATATTTGGGTTCCACCTGCACCGTGAGACCTGGATTTAAGAAGAAGGAACAGGAATGTTATTTTAGACCAGGGGTGTCCAACTTTTTTCACCGAGGGCCACATACAGAACAATATACCAAGAGCTGGGCCACTCACTAGAGGTATATTGCCTCATAAGTTAAAAGTTAGAAAAATCAATCAAATTTAGGTAAATTATGGTTGATATTGATGAGAAAAACACACAGCTCTCCGATAGGATTTCAGTTATTGTGTTGGCAGCTCATTCCTTAAAACAGAAGCATCAGATTGATTATAATAAGGAGAATTATGAAGGGTATATTTCAAGGTTGTTGCGTAAATAAGTCATTGGGCTTTTTTCTTATCAACTAAGATATGTTAGCAAATGTTTTCAACTTTAATTGACTGATTTTATTTGAAAATTTAGCTTATTAACACATGAATACTGTGTTATATATTTGAACCTATATATATTAAGAAGTACAATAGCAGATGTTTAATTTGTGGGCCATATTTCATTAGACTTTTTGAATTTTTGAATGTAGTTTGGACAACCCTGTTTTAGACAGAACTGTCAACACACATTCATACAAAAATATTGATTTTATTATATTCTTGATGCGGAACATTTGAAAATACTTGAGATGAATGAAAATATTACCTTTGACAGACAAAGTGACTCCAGGTTCACCGGCATATATGACTAGGTTTGTTTCGATCCTGAACCTGTACTCAGCTGAGTCGCTCTCTCTCAGGTTTTTGATTCTCAGAGTGCAGATGTTGTTTTCACAGAGATCTTCTACACGACCTGCATACTCTGAGGCTGTTGTCAGGTCTACAAGTTCACCATCTTTCTTCTGAGTAAACCAGAACGTTTTCTCCACTGTGGTATCACTTCCTTTCCATATGGGTGGATATGTGTAGGAGCAGTTTATTTCCACTGATGAACCTTTTACTGCACAGATCTTAGTAGAAGAGTAAGTCACTCCCCAGCCATCCTGACCCTGAACCACTGTAACACAGGGCACATCAAAAACTAGATTACAGATTATGAGTTAGGGTTATCAATAAGTTAATGAGACAAACTGGACCTTAAAGGTGGGGTAGGTAAGTTTGAGAAACCGGCTCGAGATACCCTTTTTGTTATATTCCATGGAATGCTCTTAACATCCCGATAGCAATGAATATCTTAAGTGCTTTGACAAAAAATCCATAAAAAATGTCATCTGTGGAAGCCGTAATACTGTAAAAAGCACGACCAATCATTTTAGCCGGCCCGGCTAAAATAACTGGATGGCCCTACCTGCCTGTCAGCCTTCCATCTGTGCACAAACTTATCTCGTGCCCTCATTGGTCATGTGCGCGTTTGTGTGTGTTGGAGGAGGGGCTCTGTAAGGAAGTGGCAGATTTTCTCCGGTTGTGTTATTTCAAATTCTAGCGCACTCGAGCTAGCTTCTCCAAAATTACCTACCCCACCTTTAATACCAATAGGATGTGCGGAAATGTTACCCGGACCAGTTTCAAAGTTCTCAATGATCAGATAATAACTCAACAGGCATCTACAGGATCTAACTAGAAATTAAGTTGAATATAGAATTGTGTGATATATATATATATCATTGGTATGACTCAGAAATAATTCATACTTAATGTGTTTGAACTAGTGTCTATTTAATGTACACAGTCTTCAAATTGTTTGAAAAGTGCCATTTACTCGTCAACAAACATTTTACATTTCACACACTTTTTCTATGAAAGAGCAGAAGAGCATTTTAAATGCACATCTTAATTCATTCTCATATACTTTATAACTGCTGAAAATTATACTGCATTACTTTTTTATTGTTATTTCTGAACTAAACCAGGCAGAATAGAAGTAAATGTATTAGCTTAGTTATACATATAGTCAGTGCACTCAAAGATTGGAAGATGTCTTAATAGTGAATGATTAGGGATCATATAAATTAGAAAAGTGAGATTCTCTGAACAGTTCCCTCTCTGTCCACTCTTTTGTCAGTTTTCTGCTGAGTTAAGTGTGAAAATAACAATGAATGCAGAACACTGAGGTGTGAGCAGCTTCTGTCTTATACAGATAAGAAAAAGAAGAAGACTGCTTTTAACTCACAGTGTGGGGACTAGCAGAGTTTGGTGCAGAGGTATTGCAACATAAGAGAAGTTGATAGACAGTATGTAAATACTTGTGGGAGAATATCCCTTAAAAACACTAAAACGTATTGAAAACGACAGGCAATTCTTTAACCAGTGTCATCTCAAAAATAAAACAAAGCAAAATGTGTTCACATGGTGAGGAGCGAACAGTCATGAATGAACATTATTCTCAGTTTACAGCGTGTAAAAGTTGTTTGATCAAAGATATTTCATGAAAAAGATAAGTGCAAATGATGTTGACCGAAACAATATCCAGCACAAGTAACACTAAAAACGAACTTTAAAAAAAAGTTTCAACAAATCTACACAGAATTCATATTTATAATATTTCTGGGAAGTTTGCATTTCACACAACTCTGATCCACCTATTTCCACTTATTCCCACATGTGACCTGATTTTACAAGTCCCACATTTCCCCAGAATCCCCTCTGTTCATGTGATGAATGTAAGTCTAGATGTACAGTACCTGACACAGAGAGCAGGAAGACAACTAATCCACTCGCTGCTGCAGTTAAACTCATAGCTGCTCCTCTCATCTCTGTGAGACTATAAAACATGTCAGATTAAATAATGTTCACAGGAGGTATACAGAATCAATACATCAATAAACTGTTTCTACTCACAGTGAAGGAGGAACCATGTGTTGAAAGATGCCTTTCCTCTGTCGCCAATGAGCAGAAGACGGATATCAGACTGGTTAACAACCACATTTACTTCCTGTTTAGACTATTAATATGCATGATGAGCAAAACCCCAATAACACCTACTACACAGGAAAGAAATGTTGTTTAATGAAATACAAACTTAAAGAGAGGTTCTTCCTATACCACTGAATCCAGAGAATAGCAGTGAAGGAGGAACGATGTGTTTAAAGATGCCTTTCCTCTGTCGTCAATAAGCAGAAGACGGATATCAGGCTGTTAGAAGACTATATTTCCTTCCTCTTTTGATCATTAGTATGCATGATGAGCCAAATGCAAGTAACACAGATTTGGACTCACAGTTTTTAATATGATGACGTTGATTAAAACAATAGTTTCAATAACTTTAGCTTGTTTCTGTGGATCAGTTGGAAGAGCTGTGTTCATCTTACGTTTAAACAGAAGCATTAACATTTGAAAACTGACCTCACAGCATGCAGCAAATTCATCACAAACTATCTCCATGTTTAGATACGACTGGAGGTAAGAGAGTAAATCTGTATTTTTGTAGTTTGGGTGAACTGACCCTTTAAAGCAGACAGTGGAGGGAGCACTCACTGATGAAGCCTGAATGTGTCACCCTCAAGATCCCCCACTAGAGGACAGTGAATCATCAGATACTGACTCAGGACCCTGAAAGAACATTTTAACATCAATGACTGATTATTTTGACAAATTCAAATTGACTTTTCGTTCTTTATCTAAAATATATATGAGTGAACAAATGTGCATTTTTAGTTTTTTACCATGGACATCCAACCCAATAAACATTAGAAGTCTTATCGTGTATATAATACAAATAGTTCACACTGGTCACCAACATCATTGACATATTCCAAACTCAGCAGAAACTTTAATACAATCCTTTATTCTTAAACATAATCTCATATTGGTTATTGACTAGCATTAAATAATGGACTTTTCCCTCTAGGACCACACCAAAACAATAGATCAGCTAACGATGTATAACAGGCGGTGTAGGATGTTAAGCACTGATGAATGTAAAGGGAAAAGGGAAAAAAGGATGAGAAGGTACTGTAGTCTCGGCAGATAGAGCCCACTGACGGTACCTAGAATGAGACAATAGCCGCGTTCACACCAAGTACTTTGCCAGACTTAATGCCCCGGCACTTAGTACCCCAGGGCACTAAGTACAGATCGCGTTCACACCGGAATAAGTTCCCTGAGGGAAGATTACGCGAATGAGCCGCTGACGTCACTTCTTCTTCTTCTGCTTTGGGTTTACTGGCAGGCCGCAAACCACTTCACGGCGTATACTGCCACCCGGAGTCCCCGGCCGGAAGTCCCCGGAGTTGGGGCCTGGCTTCAGTAGAAGCTGCTGGGACTCCCAGCAGCTTCTACTGAAGCCTTCCGAGTAAATCACCAGAACGCCGACACCTCCTCATCTCCACCGCTCCCATGTTTTATATTGTGTTGCCATAAGTTAGTCTCTCTGCGTTTGTCCGCTGGGCGAATGCTAATGCTAATAATGCTAATGCGAGGATAATAAAATGGCGGCTCTACAAAACATTTCAGAGTTTTACGGGGGTGGTTTGCAATTCGCCCAGCCAATCAGAACTGGGGCACTTTTTTCCCCCAGGAAAGTACCATCTCTCAGCAGGCACTAAAAATGGGGGTAAAAGTTCCCGGCTTGAAGTATTCTTTTTGGTGTGAACGCGACATACGGGGAAAAGTACTCCGGTGTGAACGCGGCTAAAGTATACATTGGATGAAATAGGAAGTGAGGAGTGGAGACAGGAAGAGAAGATGAAGGGATGTTGCCAATACAAGTTGAAAAATGTAGGCAGGGAGGGATGAAGTCGTGTAGGGATGGAGGGGTGGAGGGATGAAGTAAAGATTGGATGAGGGAATGAGAAGGGGATGAAGGGATGAGGGAGGAATCCATGGATGATGGAATGTTGGAATGAATGGATTTAAGGATGAAGTGTTGAGTGTTTAAGGGTCAAGGAATTTAGGGAGGAAATTATGAATGGATGAAGGAATTAAGGGATAAATGGAAAAGAGAATATATAAAGGAAGGGATGAATCGATGAAGGGATGTAGGGAAGGAGGGATGAATGGATGTAGGTAGGTAGGTAGGGATAATGGATGTAGGTAGGTAGGGATAATGGATGTAGGTATTGAGGATGGATGAAGGGAGGAATGGGGACATTGAGGGATGGGGGAATTTAGGGTTGAGCGTTTAAGTGTCAAGGAAATTAGGCAAGTAAGGATGAATGGAAGAAGGGATGTAGGGAGGGAGGAATTAGGGGATGTAAGGACGAAGGGTGCAGAAAGAAAGGGATGAACGGATGAAGGTTGGAGGGGTTAGGGAATGTAGGGAGGGAGGAATGAATGGAAAATGGGATATATGGATCTGGGCATTTAGGGTAAAGGGTCAAAGGGATGTAAGGAGGAAGGGATGAATGAAAGAAAGAAGGGAAGACTAAATAAAGGGATGTAGGGAGGAAGGAATCAAGGTATACACGGATAAAGGGATATAGGTAGAAAGGGATAAATGGATGAAAGGATGTAGGAAAGGAGGGACAAATGGTTGAAGGGATGAGGTAGGAAGGGGAAGGGATACATGGAAGGGGCATGGAGTGTGGATGTTGAAACATGAAACTTTTATCAAAGTTTTGATACGGCAGTTTGAGCGTGTGGTCTGTCGTGAAGAGATGAAACGAGGACAGATGTGTTGACCGGATAAAAGAACTATAGCAGATGATAAGAGATGTGGTTGAGGCTTAGCCCTGTGCAGAAGACGGATATCAGACTGGTTAACAACCACATTTACTTCCTGTTTAGACTATTAATATGCATGATGAGCAAAACCCCAGTAACACCTACTACACAGGAAAGAAATGTTGTTTAATGAAATACAAACTTAAAGAGAGCTTCTTCCTATACCACTGAATCCAGAGAATAGCAGTGAAGGAGGAACGATGTGTTTAAAGATGCCTTTCCTCTGTCGTCAATAAGCAGAAGACGGATATCAGGCTGTTAGAAGACTATATTTCCTTCCTCTTTTGATCATTAGTATGCATGATGAGCCAAATGCAAGTAACACAGATTTGGACTCACAGTTTTTAATATGATGAAGTTGATTAAAACAATAGTTTCAATAACTTTAGCTTGTTTTGGTGGATCAGTTGGAAGAGCTGTGTTCATCTTACGTTTAAACAGAAGCTTTAACATTTGAAAACTGAGCTCACAGCATGCAGCAAATTCATCACAAACTATCTCCATGTTTAGATACGACTGGAGATAAGAGAGTACATCTGTATTTTTGTAGTTTGGGTGAATTTACCCTTTAAAGCAGACAGTGGAGGGAGCACTCACTGATGAAGCCTGAATGTGTCACCCTCAAGATCCCCCACTAGAGGACAGTGAAACATCAGATACTGACTCAGGACCCTGAAAGAACATATTAACATCAATGACTGATTATTTTGACAAATTCAAATTCACTTTTTGTTCTTTATCTAAAAATATTATGAGTGAACAAATGTGCATTTTTAGTTTTTTACCATGGACATCCAACCCAATAAACATTAGAAGTCTTATCGTGTATATAATACAAATAGTTCACACTGGTCACCAACATCATTGACATATTCCAAACTCAGCAGAAACTTTAATACAATCCTTTATTCTTAAACATAATCTCATATTATTGGTTATTGACTAGCATTAAATAATGGACTTTTCCCTCTAGGACTACACCAAAACAATAGATCAGCTAACGATGTATAACAGGCGGTGTAGGATGTTAAGCACTGATGAATGTAAAGGGAAAAGGGAAAAAAGGATGAGAAGGTACTGTAGTCTCGGCAGATAGAGCCCACTGACGGTACCTAGAATGAGACAATAGCCGCGTTCACACCAAGTACTTTGCCAGACTTAGTGCCCCGGCACTTAGTACCCCCAGGGCACTTAGTACAGATCGCGTTCACACCGGAATAAGTTCCCTGAGGGAAGATTACGCAAATGAGCTGCTGACGTCACTTCTTCTTCTTCTGCTTTGGGTTTACTGGCAGGCCGCAAACAACTTCACGGCGTATACTGCCACCCGAAGTCCCCGGCCGGAAGTCCCCGGAGTTGGGGCCTGGCTTCAGTAGAAGCTGCTGGGACTCCCAGCAGCTTCTACTGAAGCCGTCCGAGTAAATCGCCAGAACACCGACACCTCCTCATCTCCACCGCTCCCATGTTTTAGTTTGTGTTGCCATAAGTTAGTCTCTCTGCGTTTGTGCGCTGGGCGAATGCTAATGCTAATAATGCTAATGCAAGGATAATAAAATGGCGGCTCTACAAAACTCTCCCTAATTCAGAGGCTCAGTGTTAGCATTGTGTGTTTTCTTTTGAAAAAAAATGTAAAATGATCAGTTAGATGAGTTTCTTACATGGATATAAAACATTCATAGTTTATTAAATGAACATGCCCTCAGACACTGTTTCCTGCAAGATGTTGCGGCACCTGGATCTTACTGCTTTGATTAATGACTTTCTAGTCCAGTCGTGGTGGAACTTGGAGACTCTGTATGTGGCAATGCCAGAGTTGGATAAAATTCCCAGTTCTCAATGTCCGGTCTCAGTTCATTAATGACATAACCTACATGGTATGGCATGCCATTGAATAATTGCGGGAAATAGAAATACTGGAAACACAATATAACTTGGTGAAAGTCTAGTTTTTGTCAAGATACATGACAAGGTGAACACAATAAAGGCAGACTGAGTGATGAAAAGTTTGTAACCACAGCACAGCCACAGTCCTGCTTATCATTGTGGGACATGTAGTTTAGTTAAAGGGGACCTATCATGCAAAATGCACTTGTGTACGTCTTTTATACATGAATATGTGTCCCCGGTGTTCCAGGGAACTCACCAAGTGTCAGAAAACACAACCCTCTCTATTTTCCTCCATACCCAAATCTCTAAAAAAAGGGGCTGCAACGGATCTGATAAAAACTGATCCAGATTTGAACACTGTCCTGACGTCAGGACGGTGGCGCTACGGCTATTGGGCACTCCACCAATCAGGAGGAGACAGCCACGGCCATTGCCGTTCGAAAGCGCTGGAGACGCTGTAGTACATATGCCAGGCCTGTAGGTGGTGCTGTTCTCACAGAATCAGCCCTTGCTAAAACAGATCTAAAAAATGTCAAATTGAGCAAAATGAGGCATGGCTAAAATGCATGATCTGTTTGGTATTTTGAATAAAAAAAAGTATAAATATGCCTTATATAGGTATGGTCCTACACTATATTATTCAAATATAGCATGATAGGTCCATTTTAAGCTGCAGTTTGTGCTGCAGACTGTTTATCTATTTTGACTCATGCACTTTTCTACTTTAGATTTCTTTGATGTGAAAAGTAGTATTGCAAACCTTTCCCAGTTTGTTCGCTGCTGAGATTACCTGAGAGACCATTGATTTAGATACTTAATTTAGCCTTCTTTTACAAAAAAGAAAGACATGAGAACTAAGAGAGGTGGTCTTTAGAAAGGTTTCTTTTGGCCACAACACCTTTTTTTGCAAAACAAGCTGTGCATTTTAATAATGTCAAGAGGAAGGAAGTGGTATTTTGAACCTGCTTTCAGTCTCCTTTTCACTCTCAAGCCCACAGAAGGACGTTAAGATTCAAGAGAACTTCCTTTAAGTTGATGTAGAACTGTTTTCTTGTCGACATCAATCTTCTTTATTTTATAGCCACACGGAGACGAGAGGAGCCGCTATGATTTTAACAGCGAGTGGATTCTTTGTCTTCCTTCTCTGTATGCCAGGTAATGTATATCCACATTAACATTGTACAACCTTTACCACACTTATTCAAAGCACCTCGAAGAGAGATATATTATTTTCAATCGACTGTTGTACTTGTATGTTTTTATGCTCTTTATGTCTTTCTATAAATGGTTTGTTGACACAAAATGCACGTTTTAAACAATTTGTTGACAATTCCCACGTACCCAAAACTGATCAAATATAATACAAACTTGTATTCTATATTCTAGTTAAGGCATAGTTAGATTGACACATTATCAGGACGTTTTTTTGATAATGACTGCTGATAGTTCGGTCATTTTAAGCTTGTCCATGTTTCCATTGCCCAAAATCACATCGGTCATTTGATCCACTTTGTCTATTTCACTGATATTAACTAAGCATTTTCTGAATTAGTTTCTGATGTGCTCTGTGTTACAGCGGTTCAGGGTCAGCGTGGCTGGGGAGTGGCTTACTCTTCTACTAAGATCTGTGCAGTGAAAGGATCAACAGTGGAAATAAGCTGCAGCTACAGATACCCATCTAGAATAAATGGCCATGAAAACACAGTACAGAAAACCTTCTGGTTTACTCAGAAGAAAAATGGTGAACTTGTAGATCTGTTAACAGACTCAGAGTATGCAGGTCGTGTAGAGGATCTCTGTGAAAACAACAGATGCACTCTGAGAATCAAAAACCTGAGAGAGAGCGACTCAGCTGAGTACAAGTTCAGGCTCAAAACGAACCAACCAGATGTGCGTTTTGCTGCTTCACCAGGAGTCACTTTGTCTGTCACAGGTAACTTTTTCATATAAATGTTAAATGTGTACTGTGCTATGAATGTTTGATAAAGAACTTAGTGTGATATGTCCTGCAATGGAAGTGTTCCAACCTAATCCTGCACTGCATGTATGTGTGTGTGTTTGTATGTGGGTGTGTGTGTGTGTGTGTGTGTGTGTGTGTGTGTGTGTGTGTGTGTGTATGTGTGTGTATGTGTGTGTGGTCTATCATTACTATACTTGTCGGGACCTACATCTGTTTACACAAAATGGAGGTCCCCATGAGGGGAATCATTAATTTTAGGGTGAAGACTTGGTTAGGGTTAGGGTAAGGTTAAGGGTAAGGGTAAGGGTTAGGCATGTGTTGGTTATGGTTAAGGTTAGGATAAGTCTCCAGGAAATGCATGTAAGTCAATGTAACGTCCCCTGAAGTGATGTATACATGGTATGTGTGTGTGTGTGTGTGTGTGTGTGTGTGTGTGTTAGGGGTGTAACGGTTCACATAATTCACGGTTCGGTATGTACCTCGGTTTGGGGGTCACGGTTCGGTACGGGTTCGGTACAACAAGAAAAAGCAAATTTGTTTTTTATTTATTTTGAACAGTAGTGCAAGTGTCAGTTTAAAAATAAGGAACTCTAACATTTTGGATAATTAACTTTATTACACAGTTAAAAACAAACCACAAACAGTACCACACACACACTCAGATGGACATATTATCTATAATGGCTGATGTCAAACAAAAAGGTTCAATAAGCTGTAAAACTAAAAAGAATGTCTTGAAAATATTACAAAATAAATAATAAGATAGTGTTTCAATCACTTTCAATCACAATCAATAAAAGTCGGGGTCCTCCACTATTGCATAAGGGTGCATAGCCGTTGAAAAACATATGCCAAAAGCTTCCGTTATTTATTTTGGTTTCTCGGCTTTCATGTCTATTGGCTTCTTAAAAACAGCGGGGATAAGCTTTGAACTGCTGTTGTCTTTTGCCGGGCTCCGGTGATTGCCAAATCTGGGTGATGCCTTCTGATATTATTTAGCATGTTTGGCTTGTGTTACCATTAGCATACCGCACCGCTGTCAAACAACGCCGGCACACCGTCCTCGTCCGATCCACCACTCGCACACTCCATCGTTATTGTAGTCCACAGGGAACCCGAAATGTTCCCACACAGCTGATTTAAAAGAAGCAGGTGGGTCTTGAAGTTCTAGCTCCTGTGTGTTATCTGAACTCGCAATACTAACTTTTCTTCTTCTTGTATTTTGTTCGTTTTGTTATGTTTTCTTCTTCTTCTTCATTTGTTGTTTAAGGGCGGCTGGCAAACAGCTTTTAGGCGCAACACCGCCCCCTGGATTATATATAGTGTAGTGGATACTGCCCTGAATGACAGACTTTTTTCCCACTCGTAAAATAAAGGCGTATTCGTCGTGTGACTGCATGCACCGAACCGTGGCGTCCGAACCGTGACGGTACGGGACGAATACGGATACCGTTACACCCCTAGTGTGTGTGTGTGTGTGTGTGTGTGTGTGTGTGTGTGTGTGTGTGTGTGTGTGTGTGTGTGTGTGTGTGTGTGTGTGTGTGTGTGTGTGTGTGTGTGTGCGTGCGTGCGTGCGTGTGCGTGCGTGCGTGTGCGTGTGTGACATCTCTGTATGTTTTTGGTTGATATTGTCTTCATTTTATTCAATAGCTACGATATAATGAACCATAGGGTGAAACAAACACCCATTATAGATGCTGTGAATGCTTTGGGGTATTTATATGAATATAAATCATTATTATTTAATTTGTTGTTTCCTTCTCAGATCCAGATCTACTGGTCAAGGTCATGGAAACAATGATCCACCAGAGTATTTCCAAAGCAAAGCTTCAGTGTCACAGCAGATGTCTTTTACCTCATGACCCTTCCTACATCTGGTTCAAGAACGGACAGAAAATTCGTGCAGAAACATCTTCTTTTTCAGTCTATTTTGATTCAGCTGACAGCTATTCCTGCGCTCTTAAAGGACATGAGAATTTCCCGTCTCCTTCACAGTGTGAGTTTACTCCACAGTCTTTCACTAACAGAACGCCATGGCACAATGATTACAATTATTTTGAATATCAATAAATCCACTTCCCCTTTTTATATTAAGTTTTTATGTTTGGCCCCTCGCTCTCCAGGATCACTTCTGCTTTAAGCAACTCAACAACCTGCTCTGTATCACAGCTGTGAGAGAGTGAGTTGTATCAGCTCAGTTTAACCAATGTTTTATCTTTCAGGTGTCTATGGTCAAAACTGCAACAAAGTGATTCACACTGACCGGAGCATCTGTGCCTTCAAAGGATCATCAGAGGACATTTCCTGCATGTACAGTAGTTATGAATCTATCACTGATGGATTCTGGTTCAGTCCTGAGCGTTATCATCAGTGGCAGAATCCCTCAGAACCTGAGGACCTTAGTGAAGACTCCCAGTATGCAGGTCGTGCTCAGATCCTTGAAACAGAGAGAGGACGCTCCACTCTGAGGATCTCTGACCTGAGAGACTCAGATTCAGCTCAGTATCTCTTCAAATTCAAAACACGAAACTTTGAATGGAGAAGTGATTTACCTGGTACAACTCTGACTGTCACAGGTACTGATCAACACACACTGATGTTATACAGTATACCAGTACTTAATGTGTAAGGTAGCTGTTATAATGTAGATTGTCAATTACAACTCTCTATCCATTAATGTTTATCTTATTTTAGACTTTGTACCCTTGATTTGGGTATTTGATAAATAGCAAACACTTTTCTGCTCCTCAAGATCCAGATCTGAAGGTGCAGGTGAAAACAGCTTCATGGTCTGAGCTCCAGTGTTACACCAGTTGTCGCCTGCCACATGGTTCTTCCTACATCTGGTATGAGAATGGGCTGAAAATTGCAATACGAGCTGATTCTGCATATTCAGGCCACTTTGGTTCTGCATCCAGCTACTGCTGCGCTGTGCAAGGACATGAGGATTTCCCCTCTCCTCCAGTGTGTGAGTGTTTCCCTCTGGCCCTCTGGTGGAGCTTGTAGGTTATTGCACTTTACCTTCAAAGCTTTTAATTCAGTAGTAGCTGGTCATCATAAATAGCTGAGACTCAGAAGAAAAGCATACTGCTGATAACAACATTGCAGAGATGTTGCAAAGACCATGCCATCTTTTGTGCATACTATACTCTTACTTCTTCTATGACTTTTTAGTGACTTACTATTAAATAGTTTTTTATAAAAACTGTACTCTGACTCTTTATGAGGAAGGAATATTATAACATGATTTGATTGACTTCTGTGTGACATACTTTACTTTTCATGACACATTTAAATGTTACTTTATTGTGATTCAATCAACCAAATCTTTTTACAGTATATAACCCAATATCAACAATCTCAAAATCGCCTCAGGTGGCTTTACAGTGATTACAGCATGTTTGTTTTAAGAGTGCACACCCTTCTGTTTGCCATTGTTCACCTGTGCCCTAAACTAATGTTTTTTTGCCAAAACAAATTCACAAAGAACATTTTAAATTGTTTTGTTTTTCAGGTGTCAGAGGTCAAACCTGTAACAGAGTAATTTACACTGAGAGAAGCATCTGCGCCTTAAAAGGATCATCAGTGGACATTTCCTGCACGTACAGCAGCTTTGAAGACGATGTTAAATCAAAGTTCTGGTTCATTCCTGAGCGTAGTCATCAGGGACAGAATCCCTCTCAACCTGAGGACCTTAGTGAAGACTCCCAGTATGCAGGTCGTGTTCAGATCCTTGAAACAGAGAGAGGACGCTCCACTCTGAGGATCTCTGACCTGAGAGACTCAGATTCAGCTCAGTATCTCTTCAAATTCAAAACACCAAGCTTTGAATGGAGGAGTGATTTACCTGGAACAACTCTGACTGTCACAGGTACTGATCAACACACACTGATGTTCACAGCAGCAGCAGTTTCATTAAAAATAAAAAATAAACCCCTTGTACCACTATTTTAATAAGGTGGTTGAAGGCTTTAATAAACATTGGCTTTAATCATGATTTTAAATGCGTTTTAAAAAATGTTGTAGATACGCAATTGAACACAGAAAAAGCTTTTCTGTTACCAGGCTTTAATAACAATGCTTTGGCTAAGTGTTTATTTTTAACTTTTCCTAATAGCTCACTGTAGATTATTAGGAAAATTATCTAAATTAATCAGAGGAAGAAGAATCAAGTTATGTACAGTATTTAAGAAAAAATAGTAATACCACATTGTAAACATTTTCTATCACAAGTAACATTCATTTGTTTCTTAAATAAAAGTAAAAAAGCTATTAGCATAGCTATTCAATGCATCACAATCTACTTAAAGCATGTTTTCTACAGTGAAATAGAGCTTGTTCATTTACTTATTATAACATTTCTAAAATACAATTTCTTTGCAACACAAAAGTTCTCAGGAATGGCTCATAGCTGAGCTCCTCAATATTTAAAACATGTGAACACTTGGCAAAGTAGTATAAAGAAAGGCTTACAACTCAAGTTTATATTAAACCATAACAAAAGTTTGAATGATTCTCGTCGCTAACCTTCATTACATCTTCTGTTTGTGGTATATATCATAAGTTTAGATTTATATCTGTTCTTTTTTATGTCTGAAAGTATGTCACTTACAACCTTAAAGGTTATCACATTTGATTTGTAATGTTAAACATATCCAGCTCTGCAGGTGCAGGTGATCAGATCAACAGTCCACCAGTCATACACCTATGCAGAGCTGAAGTGTCACAGCGGCTGCAGTCCAGCTGGTGTTTCCTACGTCTGGTTCAAGAACAACGAGAAAATCATCAAAGAGGAAAGATCTTTATATGAAGACCAGTTTTATCCTGGAGACATCATCTCTTGTGCTTTGAAAGGACACGAGAATTACAGCTCTCCTTTGCTATGTGAGTTTGCTCCACTGTGTAATTAAGACAAATATTTATATTGAACGACATAACAGAGACGCATTAAGGAATCAACCTCCAGATACATTGCACCTAACATTTGCCTCACAAAATTGTTGTTTTTTACTCCAGATGCTCTGAAGTTTCCTGTTGTGTCAGTAAGTCCTTCTGCTGAGATAGAGGAGGGCAGTTCAGTGACTCTGACCTGTAGCAGTGATGCTAACCCAGCAGCTAACTACACCTGGTACAAGGAGAATGGAAATCAGAAACTTCCTCCTCTCACTACAGAACCAAAGCTTTTCTTCAGCTCCATCCAGGTTTCTGACTCTGGACAGTATTTCTGTGCAGCTGAGAACGAGCTGGGGAAACGGACATCTGAAATGAACTCTATTGATGTGAAATGTGAGGAAATACAGTTTATCAATTGTAATTGTCATGTTTTAATCACTTGAAAAGGGTCTTTCAGGGTTCTCACTTACTTCATTTTCACATTCTGCTAATTTTGAGACCCTTGATGGAGAGATGTTTTCCTGATGAGCTGGGTGCAATTTTGTCATTAATCGTGTAAACTAATCTCCTGCAGATGCTCCAAAGCTCCCCTCTGTGTCAGTGAGTCTCTCTGCTGAGATAGAGGAGGGCAGTTCAGTGACTCTGACCTGTAGCAGTGATGCTAACCCAGCAGCTAACTACACCTGGTACAAGGAGAACCAAACACTGTTTCAGGGAACAGAAGGAAGTTATCATGTCACCTCCATCAGCTCTGAGGACAGAGGGAACTACTACTGCAAGTCTGGGAATCAATATGGAGTGATCAAATCTACGTCTCTATTTGTAGATGTTCTGTGTGAGTAATAGACAACAGCACTTCTCTCATGCTAACACTGTATTTATAAGTAGGGATTCGTTGGTTGCTTTGTGCCATTGTGGAGGTAGAGTCTGGTTCACGACATGTGTAATTATTAATACATTTCTCTCCTAATATCGTCCTCCAGATGGTCCAAAGCTCCCCTCTGTGTCAGTGAGTCCCTCTGCTGAGATAGAGGAGGGCAGTTCAGTGACTCTGACCTGTAGCAGTGATGCTAACCCAGCAGCTAACTACACCTGGTACAAGGAGAATGAAGACTCTCCAAAAGCTTCAGGACAGATCTTCAACATCACTGACTTCAGAGCTGAACACAGTGGGAGTTATTACTGTGGAGCCCAGAACAAGTTAGGACGTCAAAACTCCACCTTTCATCAGATTGTTTTGACTGGTAGGTTTCATTCACTTACACACACCAAACTAAAAAGAACAAAATTATAACAGGATTATGACAATTAACATATCTGGGTCCTGTTGCAGTAAACTCAGAAAGCCAACTAACCTCTTCACTTGTTTTTTATAATGTGTCCGACTACAACTGTGACAAATTCATTCTTGATTTTGACTTATTTGACTTTGTTTCATTTCAAAATAATGAACACGCACCTCAGCTATCTTTTGAATCAGACTTTTGAAAAAAAAGATACACACGAACAATATGGAAAAGGCATTTCTGAGGTCTGTTTCTGATCATGCTCAATATTTTCGACTAGTGTAGACCTCAACTTGATAAAACCGATACCGATAAAAAACGATAAGTTGATAAAGATATAGAACCATTATTATTTTACTGTCCGAAAACACAATTTATTGAATTGTAAGATCTAGGTTTTTTCTTTTCATATTATATTCATAAAAGCTTCATTAACTGTCAGTGTTTTTCGTCTTGTCATAGGAGCATGGAAATCTAGAGCTGCTGGAATCACCACTGCTGTTGTTCTGTCAGTCATCCTTCTCTCTATATTTGTATTGATCAGGTAAGAAGTCCACTTTCATTAAGGTAATGTTTAGTGAAAGCACTAAACATGGTATGCTGGATATTTTTGATAATATTGGGCAATAAAATATGTAAATTAGGACAACACTGTAAAGTTATATCTCATCTCAATATCTTCCTTTTCTTCAAACTCACTGTCAGACTGAATTTTCAGAAATGTGATCCTCATATCCTATTAAAGATTAGTTAGGGAAGCTGTGGCGCAGTGGGATAGCGCTGGTTCCACTCCCACTGCAGTCAACTTATCGTTATTGGACACTTCACCCCAAATTGCACCTGTGGAGATGTCCACAGTATTGAGAGTATGTAAGTCACTTTGGATAAAAGCATCTAAAAGGTCAAATGTAATGTAATGGTTACCGCAAGATGGAGGGTTAAATGTGTTGGAATGTGAAAGCAGAAAGGAGTTTGGTCTTGAAATGTAACACTGAGTCTGAGTTTCTTTTATGAAAGCAGGTCCCCCAGTCAGGAACACCATGACATAGTTCAAACTTGTGTGTTTGTATAATTTAGTGCTTTCCAGAAGTCAGCAATTATCTTGGATATTTGACTGCATGGTGTTATTAGGAAAGGATAATAGGCGCTTTCACACCGGAGTACTTTTCCCCGTACTTTTCCCGTTTAGTTCCGATAGTTCCTGGGATTTTGCGTTCACACCAAAAAGAGAACTTAGTTCATGAACTTTTACCCCCATGTTTAGTGCCTGCTAGAGAGCAGGTACTTTCCAGGGGAGAAAAAAGTTCCAATTTCTGATTGGCTGGGCGGATTGCAAACCACGCCCCGTAAAACTCTGAAAAGTTTTGTGAAGCCGCCATTGTATTTGCTGGCATTAGCCTTATTAGCATTAGCATTAGCCCAGCGCACAAACGCAGAGAGACTAACTTATGGCAACACAAAAGAAAACATGGGAGCGGTGGAGATGTGGAGGTGTCGGCGTTCTGGCGATTTACTCGGAAGGCTTCAGTAGAAGCTGCTGGGAGTCCCAGCAGTTTCTACTGAAGCCAGTCCCCAACTCCAGGGACTTCCGGCCGGGGACTTCGGGTGGCAGTATACGCCGTGAAGTTGTTTGCGGCCTGCCAGTAAACCCAAAGCAGTAGAAGAAGAAGTGACGTCAGCGGCTTCGTTTGCGTAATCTTCCCTCAGGGAACTTATTCCGGTGTGAACGTGATCTTAGTTCCATGCGGGTACTAAGTGCTGGGAAGTACGGCAAAGTACTTGGTGTGAAAGTGGCTAATGACCAATAAAAGTAACATGAAAAATATTTGTTTCATTATCAGTTTAGCACATTGCTAAAATGTTATTGTTTAATTATTTTAACCAGGAAGAAGAAAGCTGCCAAGCGATCATCTGAGCCCGGAGAGCCACCGGACAACAGCAAACAGGTGAGAAAGAATAATAATCAACAAAAGCAAAAAAGGTTTCAACTGTTCAGTTCAGATATTTTTTATACATTTTTTTTCACTACTAATTACTGGTAATATTTGCATTAATTGTGTGACCGTCTATGTTTCATGTTTCCTGTAGATGTTTGATTGCTCGTTTTACTGCACTTTTAGTGTACAGTTTTGCTGTTATGCTGCTGTGTTTGTTGTATTTTTGTGGCTCTGGCACAACAATTTCCTTCGGGATAAATAAAGTCTTATCTTATCTTATCTTATCTTATCTTATCTTTTCGCTGGGCTACACAAAAGCTCTTTATGTCTTAAAAGATGCATTAAAAGTAGAAAAAGAGTCTGAGTGGGTAAACTGGCACGAGTCTACATTTAGGTTTTTTGGTCCAATCAGGACTTGAATCAGCAATTGTTCCGTTCCCAAGCCAACACACTGAGCTACTGCTGCTCCAAGACAGAGCTTCAAGTAAAGTTCAAGATTGTTTTAGGGAACATTGGGTATTCTTAACCTTCACATATTCCCTACAACACAGACCCAAACCCTTTTAAGGTAATCTTGTCTATGCAATATCTGCCCTTCAGAGTCCTCAGGAGGAGCTTCTCTATGCCAGTGTCCAGTTCTCCAAAAACCAGGCAGATCCTCTCTCCTCCAACATCGAGGATAGTGTTGTGTACGCTGAGGTCAAATTTAACAGCGCTGCCCCGAGGTGAGTAGATACTCTCACAGGAACATTACCCTGAGTTTAACGATGAAATTACTTGGAATAAAATCAACACGTGTTCACTTTTGCATCTGCCTGATGTGATTTTACTAGTTTTACAACCACTGTTTGGCCATTTGTACGATATCTAATCTGCAAAACTCCTAAATAAATGTTTCTCTTTGAAAAACAGAAGTCAGATGTCTGCCATAAAGGACTCAACTGCATTGTACAGCACAATCAACAAAACCAGGACACAGTAGGAATCTACAGCCCATCATTTTTATTAAAGGGACCCTATTGGGTTTTCCCTTCACTGTAGTGTGTTCTCTAGGTTTGTGTGCATGTAAATGGTCTGCAAAGGCTAACATCCATGTGTTCCCTCCAGAGGGAGTTTCTCCATTGGACTCCTTTGTTTACTTCCTAAACATAGTGACATCCCTATCGAACACTCTGGCTCCTATTGGCTTCTTTCTGAGAAGATATATGACTTTAGTGTGTTGTTGAGTTTGAGCCTGGGTTGGCTCTAATGACTATGTAGCTTATTTAATGCCTTTTATTGTAAACATAATATATGTATATTAAATGGCCTATTTAATGAAATGTACAGAAGCAAGGACACACTTTTTAAACCTTTTATTTGTTCTCTGGATTGGTGTTTAAGCACGGAGTGGATACATAATACTCTATAAATCATTATTCAGAGGGAATTAGAGACACCCAAATAGCTTTTACTTTCCATTTTACCAAAAAGATAGCAATGTAACTAACTTATTAACTTGTAAAACATGAGACAACCTTTCAATTTAAAATAAAGAGTTTACAGACCAATGTGTTTATCTATATCATGTTGTACTTAAACCTTTGTCAACAGTACGTTTTATTTGAGCTCTTGTTATGTTAGGCATACTCATTTGTTTTGTAAAATAAACCATTGAATAAAAGCTATAATAATGAAGCTGTTGTCAGAAAAAAAAACACAACCCTCTCTATTTTCCTCCATACCCAAATCTCTAAAAAAGGGGCTGCAACGGATCTGATAAAAACTGATCCAGATTTGAACACTGTCCTGACGTCAGGACGGTGGCGCTACGGCTATTGAGCCAACTCCACCAATCAGGAGGAGACAGCCACGGCCATTGCCGTTCGAAAGCGCTGGAGACGCTGTAGTACATATGCCAGGCCTGTAGATGGTGCTGTTCTCACAGAATCAGCCCTTGCAAAAACTGAGCTAGAAATTGTCAAATTGCGCAAAATGAGGCATGGCTAAAATGCATGATATGTTTGGTATTTTGAAGAAAAAAAAAGTATAAATATGCCTTATATTATTCAAATATATCATGATAGGTCCACTTTAAGCTGCAGTTTGTGCTGCAGACTGTTTATCTATTTTGACTCATGGACTTTTCTACTTTAGATTTTCTAATTGACTTATGGCAGACATTATAAAAGAATGCATCTTTTATGTCATGATGTTGATGCAGTTTCTTTGATGTGAAAAGTAATATTGCAAACTTTCCCTTGTCTCTTTGTGAATGATAGAAGTATAGTTAGTTTGTTCACTGCTGAGATTAACTGACAGACCATTGATTTAGATACTTAACTTAGCCTTCTTTTACAACAAAGGAAGACATGAGAACTAAGAGAGGTGGTCTTTATAAAGGTTTCTTTTGGCCACAACACCTTTTTTGCAAAACAAGCTGTGTTTTTAAATAATGTCAAGAGGAAGGAAGTGGTATTTTGAACCTGCTTTCAGTCTCCTTTTCACTCTCAAGCCCACAGAAGGACGTTAAGGTTCAAGAGAACTTCCTTTAAATTGATGTAGAACTGTTTTCTTGTGGACATCAATCTTCTTTATTTTATAGCCGCATGGAGACGAGAGGAGCCGCTATGATTTTAACAGCGAGTGGATTTTTTGTCTTCCTTCTCTGTATGCCAGGTAATGTATATCCACATTAACATTTTACAACCTTTACCACACTTATTCAAAGCACTTCCAAGAGAAATATATTATTTTCAATCGACTGTTGTACTTGTATATCATTGTAGGTCATTAGACAGTGTGTCTCTGTATGTTTTTAAGCTCTTTATGTCTTTCAATAAATGGTTTGTTGACACAAAATGCACGTTTTAAACAATTTGTTGACAATTCCCACGTACCCAAAACTGATCAAATATAATACAAACTTGTATTCTATATTCTAGTTAAGGCATAGTTAGATTGACGCATTATCAGGACGTTTTTTTGATAATCACTGCTGATAGTTCGGTCATTTTAAGCTTGTCTATGTTTCCATTGCCCAAAATCACATCAGTCATTTGATCCACTTTGTCTAATTCACTGAATTCGTTTCTGATGTGCTCTGTGTTACAGTCGTTCAGGGTCAGCATGACTGGGGAGTGACTTACTCTTCTACTAAGATCTGTGCAGTGAAAGGATCAACAGTGGACATAAACTGCAGCTACAAATACCCATCTAGAATATATGGCCATGAAAACACAGTACAGAAAACCTTCTGGTTTACTCAGAAGCAAAATGGTGAACTTGTAGATCTGACAACAGCCTCAGAGTATGCAGGTCGTATAGAGAATCTCTTTGAAAACAACAGATGCACTCTGAGAATCAAAAACCTGAGAGAGAGCGACTCAGCTGAGTACAGGTTCAGGTTCATAACAAACTACGATACATATACTGGTTCACCAGGAGTCACTTTGTCTGTCACAGGTAACTTTTTTCAATATAAATGTTAAATGTGTACTGTGCTGTGAAGGTTTGATAAAGAACTTAATGTGATATTTCCTGCAATGGAAGTTTTCCAACCTAATCCTGCACAGTGTGTATAAGTGTGTGTGTGTGTGTGTGTGTGTGTGTGTGTGTGTGTGTGTGTGTGTGTGTGTGTGTGTGTGTGTGTGTGTGTGTGTGTGTGTGTGTGTGTGTGTGTGTGTGTGTGTGTGTGTGTGTGTGTGTGTGTGTGTGTGTGTGTGTGTGTGTGGTTGATAATGTCTCTATTCTATTCAATAGCTACTATATAATTAACCTTAGGCTGAAACAAACACCCATTATAGATGCTGTGAATGCTTTGGGGTATTTATATGAATATAAATCATTATTATTTAATTTGTTGTTTCCTTCTCAGATCCAGATCTACTAGTCAAGGTCATCAGATCAATAGTCCACCAGAGTGTTTCCAAAGCAAAGCTTCAGTGTCACAGCAGATGTCTTTTACCTCATGACCCTTCCTACATCTGGTTCAAGAACGGACAGAAAATTCGGGCAGAAACATTTTCTTTTTCAGTCAATTCTGATTCAGCTGACAGCTATTCCTGCGCTCTTAAAGGACATGAGGATTTCCCGTCTCCTTCACAGTGTGAGTTTACTCCATAGTCTTTCACTAACACAACGCCATGGCACATTGATTACAATTACTTTGAATATCAATAAACCCACTTCCCCTTTTTATATTAAGTTTTTATTTTTGGCCCCTCGCTCTCCAGGATCACTTCTGCTTTAAGCAACTCAACAACCTGCTCTGTATTACAGCTGTGAGAGAGTGAGTTGTATCAGCTCAGTTTAACCAATGTTTTATCTTTCAGGTGTTGACGGTCAAAACTGCAACAGAGTGACTCACACTGACCGGAGCATCTGTGCCTTCAAAGGATCATCAGTGGACATTTCCTGCATGTACAGCAGTTATGAATCTATCACTGATGGATTCTGGTTCAGTCCTGAGCGTTATCATCAGTGGCAGAATCCCTCTCAGCCTGAGGACCTTAGTGAAGACTCCCAGTATTCAGGTCGTGTTCAGATCCTTGAAACATGGAGAGGACGCTCCACTCTGAGGATCTCTGACCTGAGAGACTCAGATTCAGCTCAGTATCTCTTCAAATTCAAAACACCAAGCTTTGAATGGAGGAGTGATTTACCTGGTACAACTCTGACTGTCACAGGTACTGACCAACACTCACTGATGTTATATACAGCATACCAGTAATTAATGTGTAAGGTAGCTGTTATAATGTAGATTGTCATGTACAACTCTCTATCCATTCATGTTTATCTTATTTTAGACTTTGTACCCTTGATTTGGGTATTTGATAAATAACAAACACTTTTTTTATCCTCAAAAATCCAGATCTGAAGGTGCAGGTGCAGGGGGGGAAATCATCTTCATGGTCTGAGCTCCAGTGTTACACCAGTTGTCGCCTGCCACAAGGTTCTTCCTACATCTGGTATGAGAATGGGCTGAAAATTGCAAAAGAAACATTCTCTTCATATTCAGTCTACTTTGGTTTTGCATCCAGCTACTCATGCGCTGTGCAAGGACATGAGGATTTCCCCTCTCCTCCAGTGTGTGAGTGTTTCCCTCTGACATGGCCCTCTGGTGGAGCTTGTAGGTTATTGCACTTTACCTTCAAAGCTTTTAATTCAGTTGCAGCTGGTCATCCGAAATAGCTGAGACTCAGAAGAAAGTTCTTAGTTCTTCTATGACTTTTTAGTCACTTACTATTAAATAGTTTTTTATGGCAAACTGTACTGTGACTTTTTATGAGATTTTCTATGGAATATTATAACATAATTTGATTGACTTCTATGTGACATACTATACTTTTCATGACACATTTAAATGTTACTTTATTGTGAAACAACCAACCAAATACTTTTACAGTAGATAACCCAATATCAACAATCTCAAAATCGCCTCAGCTGGCTTTACAGTGATAACAGCATGTTTATTTAAAAAAATTGTGCACACACTTCTGTTTGCCATTGTTTGAATGTGCCCTAATTAACAAACGTTTTTTTTGCCAAAACAAATTCACGAAGAACATTTTAAATTGTTTTGTTTTTCAGGTGTCACTGGTCAAACCTGTAACAGAGTAATTTACACTGAGAGAAGCATCTGCGCCTTAAAAGGATCATCAGTGGACATTTCCTGCACGTACAACAGTTATAAAGTATATGTTAAATCTACATTCTGGTTCAGTCCTGAGCGTAGTCATCAGGGACAGAATCCCTCTCAACCTGAGGACCTTAGTGAAGACTCCCAGTATGCAGGTCGTGTTCAGATCCTTGAAACAGAGAGAGGACGCTCCACTCTGAGGATCTCTGACCTGAGAGACTCAGATTCAGCTCAGTATCTCTTCAAATTCAAAACAACAGGCTTTGAATGGGGGAGTGATTTCCCTGGTACAACTCTGACTGTCACAGGTACTGATCAACACACACTGATGTTCACAGCAGCAGCAGTTTCATTCAAATAACTACAACTTTTGTACCACTTTCCTAAGAATGTGGTAGAAGGGTTTTATAACTATTGGCTTTTACCATGGTTTTAAATGTCTTTACAAATGTTGTGTACATATGCAATTGAACATAAAGATAGCCTTTGGGTTACCAGGCTTTAATAACAATGCTTTGTTTATTTTAAATAATAGCTCACTGTAGATTATTAGGAAAATTATCTCAATTAATCAGAGGAAGAAGAATCAAGTTATGTACAGTATTTAAGACAAAATAGTAACACCACATTGTAAACATTTTATGTTACAAGTAACATTCATTTGTTACTTAAATAAAAGTAAGAAAGCTATTAGCATAGCTATTTGGTTAGCAAATAGCTTTTCAATGTATTAGCATCACAATCTACTTAAAGGGGACCTATCATGCAAAATGCACTTTTGTACGTCTTAGAAATACTGGAAACACAATATAACTTGGTGAAAGTCTAGTTTTTGTCAAGATACATGACAAGGTGAACACAATAAAGGCAGACTGAGTGATGAAAAGTTTGTAACCACAGCACAGCCACAGTCCTGCTTATCATTGTGGGACATGTAGTTTAGTTAAAGGGGACCTATCATGCAAAATGCACTTTTGTACGTCTTTTATACATGAATATGTGTCCCCGGTGTTCCAGGGAACTCACCAAGTGTCAGAAAACACAACCCTCTCTATTTTCCTCCATACCCAATTCTCTAAAAAAGGGGCTGCAACGGATCTGATAAAAACTGATCCAGATTTGAACACTTTCCTGACGTCAGGACATTGGGACGGCTATTGGGCCAACTCCACCAATCAGGCGGAGACAACCACTGCATTGTTCGAAAGCGCTGGAGACATTGTAGTACATATGCCAGGCCTCTAGATGGTGCTGTTGCTCACAGAATCAACCCTTGCTAAAACAGATCTAAAAAATGTCAAATTGAGCAAAATGAGGCATGGCTAAAATGCATGATCTGTTTGGTATTTTGAAAAAAAAAAGTATAAATATGCCTTCTATAGGTATGGTCCTACACTATATTATTCAAATATAGCATGATAGGTCCACTTTAAAGCATGCTGTACAGTGAAATAGTCACAAGCTTGTTCATTTACTTATTATAACATTTCTAAAATAAAGAATGTTTGCAAAACAAAAGTTCTCATGATTGGCTCATAGCTGAGCTACTCAAGATTTAAAACATGTGAACACTTGGCAAATTAGTATAAAAAAATGATAACAGCTCAAGTTTATATTAAACCATAACAAAAGTTTGAATTATTCTCGTCGCTAACCTTCATTACATCTTCTGTTTGTGGTATATATCCTGAGTTTAGATTTATATTTGTTATTTTTGATGTCTGAAAGTATGTCACTTACAACCTTAAAGGTTATCACATTTGATTTGTAATGTTAAACATATCCAGCTCTGCAGGTGCAGGTGATCACATCAACAGTCCACCAGTCATACACCTATGCAGAGCTGAAGTGTCACAGCGGCTGCAGTCCAGCTGGTGTTTCCTACATCTGGTTCAAGAACAATGAGAAAATCATCAAAGAGGAAAGATCTTTATATGAAGACCAGTTTTATCCTGGAGACATCATCTCTTGTGCTTTGAAAGGACACGAGAATTACAGCTCTCCTTTGCTATGTGAGTTTGCTCCACTGTGTAATTAAGATAAATATTTATATTGAACGACATAACAGAGACGCATTAAGGAATCAACCTCCAGATACATTGCACCTAACATTTGCCTCACAAAATTGTTGTTTTTTACTCCAGATGCTCTGAAGTTTCCCGTTGTGTCAGTAAGTCCTTCTGATGAAATCATGGAGGGCAGTTCAGTGACTCTGACCTGTTGCAGTGATGCTAACCCAGCAGCTAACTACACCTGGTACAAGGAGAATGGAAATCAGAAACTTCCTCCTCTCAATAAAGAACCAAAGCTTTTCTTCAGCTCCATCCAGGTTTCTGACTCTGGACAGTATTTCTGTACAGCTGAGAACGAGCTGGGGAAACGGACATCTGAAATGAACTCTGTTGATGTGGAATGTGAGGAAATACAGTTTATCAATTGTAATTGTCATGTTTCAATCACTTGAAAAGGGTCTTTCAGGGTTCTCATACTTATTTCAATCTCACAATCTCCTAATTTTGAGAACCTTGACGTAAAGATTTTTTCCTAATTGAGAGCTGGATGCAATTTCTTCATTAATCGTGCAAACTAATCTCCTCCAGATGCTCCAAAGCTCCCCTCTGTGTCAGTGAGTCCCTCTGCTGAGATAGAGGAGGGCAGTTCAGTGACTCTGATCTGTAGCAGTGATGCTAACCCAGTAGCTAAATACACCTGGTACAAGAAGAACCAAACACTGTTTCAGGGACCAGAAGGAAGTTATCATGTCACCTCCATCAGCTCTGAGGACAGAGGGATCTACTACTGCAAGTCTGGGAATCAATATGGAGAGATCAACTCTACGCCTCTATTTGTAGATGTCCAGTGTGAGTAATAAACAACAGCAATTCTCATATGCTAACACTGTATTTACAAGTAGGGATTCGTTGGTTGCTTTGTGCCATTGTGGAGGTAGAGTCTGGTTCACGAGTGACGACATGTGTATATATTAATAAATGTGACTACTATATCGTCCTCCAGATGCTCCAAAGCTCCCCTCTGTGTCAGTGAGTCTCTCTGCTGAGATAGAGGAGGGCAGTTCAGTGACTCTGACCTGTAGCAGTGATGCTAACCCAGCAGCTAACTACACCTGGTACAAGGAGGATGAAGACTCTCCAAAAGCTTCAGGACAGATCTTCAACATCACTGACTTCAGAGCTGAACACAGTGGGAGTTATTCCTGTGGAGCCCAGAACAAGTTAGGACGTAGTAACTCCAACTTATATCTGAGTGTTGTGGCAGGTAAGTTCTCTACATTCACCAGAACTGATTCACTTTGTAATATGCAGCAACCAATGAAAAATGGCGACACAGAAAATAAAACTATTGTTGTTCAGGGTTATAGACGTGGATGACACTGACTGAAGGGATATATCAATCTACTACTGAGGTGTATTACATATTTGTTCATATTTCTAGGGAGTTCAACAATGATAGTGAATATCATCAGGACGACTCTGGGGGTCTTGATGCTGATTCCTGGGTTTCTCCTGAGTCTATGGACGAGGTACAACAATAGAAATTCATCAGTTCACTCACCATTTATTTTTCTCTTATAACATCCTCACATTTCACTGTCATGAATTCTGCACTTGTTGATGTTGTCAATCCAGGAAGAAGAAAGCTCTGCACTCCACCACTGAAGCACATGAACCTGTAGAGATAGAGGTGAGAGAGAGCGGACCTATTGACAAACCTTCCAATACGTCTCGGTTATAAATTGTCCCATAAATGCTCTGGAAAAGGAGGTTAAGTACATTGTAGTCATTAAACAATGACATCAACTAATCTTCTTCAAAATAAAATACATTTTTGCTTATATCTCCTAATATATAGAGTTAATTATCAAGAGACTGATTTTGTCTTCTTTCCCCATCAGTTGGACTCTCTTCCTGAGTATGAGAACGACTCAGACACTGCAGCACAGACAGAAGACACAGAGGAGCAGGAAGACATGGTGTGAAGTCCAGTCAGGTTAGAGCCTCCTGCATCAGATCAAACAGGCCCACTCCACATTTAGAGTCACAGTTCCAGCTGTAACTTTACACAAAGTCTCCTGTGATTTTCTTCAGACGCTCACCTGACGGAAACAAAGAAGAAGGACATCTAAAAATCCATTTGTTTCAAGTTTTTATTTTAAGTTTTCAGTAGCAGCAGCAGGAAGGAGTCAGCAGCTTTTACCACAACCAAGCGAGGTTTTTGTATATCTGTTTTATTTTTTGTTTGTTTTTCAATAACAAATGTATTTATTTAAGAAAAAAAGAAGGAAATAAAATATATATGTTACTAATTTAGTTTTTGGGAGAAGGGTGGGATTCAATAAGTGTAAACTTCTTCCCACCCCTTTTCGGATGTGTAATTAAGTAGATTATTTGTTTATACATAAATTAGAATCAGTAATATTTTTGTTTATCAATTTGACATTGCTTAATTTTATAATGTATAATAATTATCATGTTACATTTTGTATTGTTGTTTTACACATTCCAAATAAATCAAATCAAATCAAATGTAGGTTTAGAAGAATGAGCTGCTGGCAGCTTGAAGTGAAGTGATATTGAGGTGTCAAACATGATTTATTGTTAAGATCAGCTGATGATCAGGTGCTCTAACGTGCTGATTTAACTACTGTATACATGCTTATTTGTTATATATAGAGTTGTTGATATTACAAAAGTCTAGGATAAGTCTAACGGAAGTTGTTTTTAAATCCACATAATAAATAACTTTGAAAAATCCTCATCAGTGTGTTAGTTAATAACTGTCCTGCTGACAGAGCCAATGAAGTCTATTCAAAACAGAGACCCTAAAAACATCCCATGTCACTCTATGTACAGTTTAGATTTTCACAAAATGAAACATAAGCTCACTAGTAGACCTTGTTAGATGTTACTGTGTAAGATTAAAATAAGAATAAATCAACAGCCAGCTCTACAACAAGTGAAGGACCATCGGACGAGTGTTTGGAAAAAATCACGTTAAAAAATCTCCACATTTCTGATTTTCTGTTTAACTTTTCATTAATTTGTGGTATATAATGTTACATTATTATCTAGCCTTACAAAACAAATACGTAGAATAAGCTTTTTTTTTTTGCTTTTCAATATCTCCCATATTGTCATGTGGTGCTATGTCACTATAGGAAATAAAGGAGTCACATGGTTCATAATGATCTGGGATGTTTCTGATATGAAGATCCACAGACAGAGTTTTCAACTGAGAATCAATTTAAATGATTTGCCTTTGGAAAAATGCTGATAGTCATATTTTACAAGCCACCTTCCCTTTCTCTTCCATCGCCCCAACGCTTTATCCCTCAATCCTTCATCCCCATAACCATTCATCCTTTCATCCCTTGACCTTTCATTCATTAATTTGTCCTTTTCCTTCATTCCTCTATTCATACATCATACAGCTTTTCTTTCTGTCTCCCCTCATCTATTTCAAATTCTATGTACATTCTGGCCACTTCGTTATTCAGATCAGACAGAAAAACGCCTGAGACTAAATTCACATACACTAAGAGACCAAGCACTCTCCTGGCTGGCTCTCCATTTAATGTCGGAGATGTTTAAAGCCATGTTTGGTCCATAATATGAACACGGACCTCCTCACCAACATTGTTATCTTTACAGTCTTTACAGAGTCAAAAAAGTGCACTGGAAACGGAGTTCAGAGTTTGATGCATAGAGGTTTGGAATTGTTATAGGTCCTGCCACTCCTATTCGCCCACCAAAATTTGACCACAAGTGTTTTCAAGTTGGAGTCATATATGTCTCATTGATAGCCAAAAATAAAGTGAGAATATAATATACAGAGCCAAATACAGAGCACTTCTTTAGGCAAGGCAACGCAAGTTTATTTATATAGCACCTTTCAACACAAGGCAATTCAAAGTGCTTTAGAAAAATGAAAGACATATAGAGCATTAAGAAATATTGCAGCAGAAACATATTGTAAAATGGCATTTAAAAACACTAATTTAAAAGCAAAGATAATAAAATGTAAAAAATAATAACACATGAATAAAAGTTACAGTGCAGTGTGAGATATGAATATATCCATTAAAAGCAGCGGCAAAAAGAGAAGTCTTCAGCCTGGATTAATAGAGTTGATTAAGAGTTGCAGCGGACGTGCAGGAACCAACACAGTCTCAATCCCTGATAGTCCAATAGCGACGCTTGGTCAGGGTCCTTTGGCGTGCAGTTGTGACGCGCCGAGTCTCCTTCAGCTTCATATACTGTATACTGCCACCCGAAGTCCCCGGCCGGAAGTCCTCGGAGTTGGGGACTGGCTTCAGTAGAAGCTGCTGGGACTCCCAGCAGCTTCTAGGGTGTTGCCATAAATGATTCTCTCTCAGTTGGTGTGCGGGGCTAATGCTAATGCTAATAATGCTAATGCCAGCAAATACAATGCAGCTTCACAAAGCTTTTCAGAGTTTTACGGGGCGTGGTTTGCAATTCGCCCAGCCAATCAGAAATTGGAACTTTTTTCTCCCCAGGAAAGTACCACCTCTCTAGCAGGGACTAAAAAGGGGGTAAAAGTTCTCATGAACTAAGTTCTCTTTTTGGTGTGAACGCAAAATCCCAGGAACTATCGGAACTAAACGGGAAAAGTACGGGGAAAAGTACTCCTGTGTGAAAGCGCCTCTTGACACGACATGGAGACCTCTACTGCGGTCTGTGAAGATTTTCTTTTACTTTTTTATTTAAAAGGTAAATTCCACTAGAGCTCAAATCTCTGCTCCTGCAAATGACCCCTCAGTTCCTGCACCCTGCTTTGCTGTCTTTGACAATTTTTAGCCTGTTGCTCTGTCTTTTGTACAGGAGATTGTCTGTCAGTTAAAGCCCTCTGGTTCTCCAAATGACCCCGTCCCACCTGGACTTTTTAAAGAGGTTTTCCCCACTGTAGGACCATCAGTGCTGGCAGTTATTAACTGGTCTTAGGGAAGGTCCCTGAAAAGTTGAAGCGTGCAGTCGTGCAACCTCTAATTCAAAAACCCAGCCACAGTTCTGGCTTATTTTAGGCCCATGTCAAAAATCCTGGAAAAGATTGTCTGCAGTCAAATCATGTTTTTTCTGGAGTAGAATAATATCCCGAAGGCTATTCCAATCCGGTTTGAAAACTATGCACAGCACTGAAACAGCGCTTTTAAGAGTTTTTTAGGACATCCTTTTATCTATTGACTCTGGGGACTGCGTTGTTATCTACTTATTGATTTAACTGAAGCTTTCGATACAGTCGACCATGACATCTTGATCTCTCGCTTGGAGCAGTCGGTGGGCATTGAGGGGAAAGCCCTGGAATGGTTCAGGTCATATCTGAATGATAGAACTTTCTCTGTCAGTCTTGGTGACTCCGAGTCATCCTCTGCTACACTCCTGTATGGGGTCCCACAGGGTTCAGTCTTAGGCCCCCTGCTATTTTCCCTCTATTTGCTCCGTCTTGGGTCCATACTTAAAAAGCACGGCATTGCATTCCACTGCTATGCTGATGATAGCCAGATGTATGTCCCACTAAAAAAGAAGGAGGGTTACTCTATTAGCCCACTGTTAAAGTGTCTAGAGCAGGGGTTTCCGAGTTGGGCTTTTTTTTTTTTAATCAATTTTTTTATTATTATTAATAATAATAACGTGTGCATAGACATTTTTCAGGGGCGGACTGGCCATCTGTATAATTTCCCCGCAGCGAGGCTCCTCCCGTTGACAATCCACTAGCGCAGTGTGTCTCAAACTTTTTCATACCAACGACCACTTAACCAATAAAAAAACACTCACGGACAACCTGACTCCACAAATATCCAAAAACAATAGGCCTGCTTACCACT